GCCACAGCGATCCGCCATCTCGCCTGTGCTCATTAACGTGTTTACGAGCAAGATTGCAAGCCTAGAAGCACCAGGAGTTGGAAGGATACTGACCTTTGCGAATGATATACTTGCATATAGGCAGGGGGAAGAGAGGGAGCAAACAAGCGACAGTAGTTAAAGTGACTGGGTGGTGTACAGGAATGAGGGCTGTTGTCCACCCAGAAAAGGTGTCTGATTTGTGGTGTTCTCTAGGCAACAGGATCGTTAGAGGTAATGTCCAAAGTCTCACTGCAGATTGTACCATGTGGAGATTGTTATGACAAGATGCCAAAAAGGACTCAGTGCACTTAAGACTGTGCTGCAATGGACATAGAGCAGAGAATGCTTTTCACACTATATCAGCACCTGATACTGTCAGTGATTGATTATGGCCTGGGACTGATTACCGTTTCAAAGAGTCAGATGGATAAACTAGAGCGCACACAGAACGCAGCTATGCGGGTCATTCTGGGTGGTGTATGCGATACATCCTTGGTTTGCCGACTATTGCAGGTAGGCACAAGGTGCTGCAGGCGAAGTCATATTTCAAGGTAGCTGCAGGCACAGATCACTCTTTGCATGAAGCTTTGGGCCCAGTTAAGGGCCAGCGGCCGATTAGAGGGAAGTCATGGATGGCTCAGGCAAAAGACACAATCAGACAGGTTTGCATCCTTGAGAACATTAGGCGAGGAGAGGAGTGGGTCAAAGTACCAGCTGAACAGTCAGACTTGTGTAGGGTCATAATCACGCTGAGCCGGGAATGCAGAGACTGGCCAGCAGGTGCCACAGAGGTGGAAATTCAGAAATTAATTCAAGATAGTGCTCGCTCAGAAGATTTGATTGTTTACATAGACGGTCCAGTGTCAAGAGGCAAAAGAAGTGCTTGGGGTTTCTTAGCAAAAGGTAATGGTCGATGTTTGGTGCATGAGAGCCTAGCATAGGATACCACAACATCCAGCTTAAGAATGGAGGTGGAGGCGGTCACTGCATCTTTCTGCTGGATAGAGAACACGACACACACACACACATATCGTGACTGTAACTGACTCAGAAAGCACGGGAAGAAGGTCAGAACAGGCAGGCTTTGTGTAGAGTGGCATGCTTCACTGCGGTGGACACATGTGAGGAGTATTGTCTGGATTTTATCTCTGTTGGGAAATGAACAGGCGGACAGACTGGCTGGTTCTGCAAAACTTAGTGGAATACCTCGGTGGAATACTGATGCATAAGGCAGACGTGGTTAGTGCCTTGTGGGAGAGCGTGTACAGAGAGCAGATGGATCACCAGTCTGGTGAGATTGATGAAGCGGGGAGTGACAAGGGGTTCTGGTCGATTCTCGGAGGAAAGGCAAGCCGGAGGTTTAATCAGAATGCTAATGGCACTACTAGTATTGGAACTTTGCACTGGCTGCTGAAGATGGTGACGGGGCGCTTATGGGAATGCCCGAGTGCTGTGATGTCGGTTCTTGAATCAACTCAACTGGGAAGGTTCTGAAGCTCCTACGTTGTCAGTTTACAGGTGCCAGGCGTTCGAATTCCAAGGTGGCGTTCACGTTCCGAGGCGACATTTACTTGAAAATTTAGGTCGGATTCCAGGTTGTAGGAATTTTGAAGCATTCAAATTCCGAGGTACGACTGTACTGTGTTCGTCATCTCAAAGACATGCCAGTTCTAAAATAAGATCTAAGATGGAGGAATAAATAACGGAACAACAGTTTACGAAGAACTTAAACACATTAAAAACAGATTGAACAATTATTGACACGGTTTACTAATCTGTATTTTATATTATAGTGCTATTATAGTTATTCTTTTTTAAATTTCCTAATAACTGATAAGGTTTTTACATTTGTGTTGGTGTTTGATCTGTATTTAGATGGTTTATTAAAAAAATTGTGAAAAGTAAAAAGTAATGTATAATCGTGTCTGTGGACACAACAACACTGTTGATGTTTTGCAACGAGGTCTAGACATAGTAATAATATACAAACAAGTAAAACTACTACTTTGTGGTAATTATTACATGAAAATGCAGTTTTAGCTCAGTCTTAAATTCAGTCTTTGTTTCATAATCTCAGTATGTAGTTTTAGTGCCCAACGCAGAGCTGTGGGGACCAGACCGAGTACTGAGTATCCACGGGAATCAATAACTTAAGTAAGACAATGGACATCTCTCCGCTGGGGTAGACGTAAACAGGAGCACTATATAAGTATATAGACCAGGGCACTTACCTTGACAGTCCAGAAAGTTGCTGATGGCTGAGGATACAGTCCAGTCTTCTAAAGCCACATGAATGCTTAAACTAAAAGGCACTACTTAGTCAAATTTTCTAAATCATTTTGTTTCCTTATAAAACCAGTCTACAAGTTGAAAAGCTCTTTCGTGTCTGAGGACTGTATGTCAATTCTAAGCCGAGTTATTGAAGTTTTTGTGGGAAAAATGAACAAAAAAGAAAAAATTAAAGTGAGTTAAAACTTGTCGCTACCACAGTATTGTCCAAAGAAACTTATTATGGACGCCACTTTACTAGATGAGTTATTATATTATGATCAGCATTAGTCTGATTCAGACTCTGAAGAAAGTCACCAGGTTGTGACAAAATGAGAGGCCAGTTTCCGCATCTGCCTACCATGCACTGTGCACGAATATCTGGAACAGCGCCATTTGGCCAAAATATCAAGAAAAGATGTCTGTGTGGGTTCCGGGACCCTATTAAAGGAAAAACAAGAACAGACCCACTGCCTACCCAAAAAATGGTGAAACTATGGGGGTGACTGCAGTCAAGCTAATACAATGAATTCCAGAGAAATTTGACTAAAAAGCTCAACAAAATGGGAAAGAGGAAAACGTGCACAAAACAACACAACGTAACGTTTCGACCGGGCAGCCTTTTTCAAACATAAGTGAAATCCACAAATGAGGAATGGAGAGTATGTAGATCTCTAAGGGGTGACCTGAGCCTACCCAAAAGCATGTCGTAAGAGTCAACTAATTGGGAGCTTCCATCAAAGTCGGAGTGCATCAGCCTGAGAGGCAAGGAACCAGCAGTCTGCAAACAAGTCAGATCTGTAAAGCGGATGCACACGCAACACTCAGGTTCTGGAATAGGACTGCAGTCCAAAAGCTGATGAACAACCAGAACTTTCTGCCAGAGTTTACAGCTGGTGAACGCGAAGAAGATCAAGAATAGATATAAAACCGAACGAAAAGTAAATCAGCAAGCTTCACAATATAACAAACAAAAATGTGAACGTTGTGGCTATGGAGCCTTTATCAGCACATACATAAATAAAACTAACACACATACACAAAATCACTTAGCTTAGTATCTTAAAGCAGCCAGGTCCATGTCTTGTCAGTAGACTGACAAGACACATGTGGACAGGAGATTAAATACCCATCAAGGAATTTCAAGGGCCATAATTGGAGGGTTTAGGTAAAACTGGGCAGTTCAGTTCCCCAGATTTAAGATAAAATGGTTATCCTCCGAATAACGGTCGGTAAAGATGGCGACCGCAAATTATCCTTTCGAGCCACAGTCACGTGATCTATTTTGCGGTTTTCGGGCGACTACCGCCACCGCCACGAGTCCCCCACGTCAGGAGATGCGGAAGCTGTTGCTCAGGGTTTCTAGCCAACTAGTTTAGCTCCAATCCACGCCGCATGAGTGGCATGGGGGACTCGTGGCGGTGGTGGTAGTCGCTGGAGAACCGCAAATTAAGTCGTCGGAGAACCGCAAAGTAGGTCACGTGACTGTGGCTCGAAAGGATATTTTGTGGCCGCCATCTTTACCGACCATTATTCGGAGGATAGCCGATAAAACTGTTAGCAGTTCCTTCCTCTAGGGGTTGAAGTGCCCAAAGTGAAACTAAAGAGATTTTGGACTCTGTGTCGCTGGAGTGGATAGATTTGATGGCTGTCACCTCCATGTCACGGACACCTTGGTGATACTGGGAATTAAAGTGCAATGGTACTTGTTTCACGGCACCCCTCTCCAAAAGAAACGAAATCTGAAACTATACTCCATCAACCGTATAATCACATTAAATCATGCAAGCAAAATCCTGTTACAAATAATCATGAAGAGGATTGAAATGAAATTGGTGAAATTTCCCATACTTATATAAATCTAGAATTTAAAAAATAAAAACCACCACAGATTGTCTTAATCTGGCAAATTTAGAAGATGTTCAGGAACTTACTGTGAAATACACTGCGTGTTGCCAAAAAATAGATTCATCGTTAACTCGGCAAAACCATGTTGTGTCACAGCCTGACATCTCTGCCATAACTCCTGACAATTGTCTTGACATGATTCTTTACGTAAAGAGTATGAACAAATGGATAAGTGAAATAACTGATGCATCCTTTATAAAGTCATTGTTTTGATAAATTACCCTATCTCAGTTGATAATTCAAATTCCTGATATCTGATTGTATTTGTCTATGAGAGTCAACCATGATGGATAACTTCAGGCTAAATGAGCTGCTATGTGGGGAATGTTTTTTAAATGTATATATTGAGTTAAAAAGTCGGGTATTGAAATTATATGATTACATCGTTTTAAAGACTTAATTTAAAAAAAAAACTATCTGACATTTGTACACATTTCTGAGCTATGCTTTTTATGTGAGTGGGTAAGTTAGTATTATAATTTGATTTTATCCTTATCTTCGTCACTTCCTCTTTTACCACTGTGGGTGTCAAGGGAGATACAAGTGCTGGGCACTTGATACTGTTGTAGAATTTCTCTATTGTTTTCTTTCCATACGATCTACCTCAGGCTCAACATCCCTCCCCCTCTCTTTCTTATGTGCCTTGAATGATGGGGCATCACAAGGCAGTTTCTCCAAATGAGCAAAACATTTCATTTGTTCTTGGTTTTGTGTAATGTATGTGTGTGATTTCAGCTGAAAGTATTGTAAAACCTTCTACAAAAGCAGTTGTTGGTTCTTTGTACACAGCTTCAGACTTGGTCATGGGGAAGAAAAGAAACAACCGTAAGTCAGTCTATAAAGCTTTCACTATCTTATATTTTTTTAAATGTTTGTAATTAAGGGAACTGAAGAGTTTAAATGATGTCAGTTAATGGCAGAAAATATGTGGTATAGATTTAACTTGCAAGAGAGTCTTGTTAGCACAGTGGCTAAACGCTTGCCTGCCAAGCCCAGAGGTCTTGGGTTTGAATATGCATGGTGGTTGATTTTAACAGCAGGTTTAGAGTTATCAGGTTGAACCAGCCTAAAATGGGTGCTAGGAACTGTTCTGGCAAGTAGAGGCATTACCATCATCCATCAGATGATGTAGGGGGCACCTGATGATATATATAGTTAAATTTTCTCCTTTCTCTTCCTATCTTCCATTGAAGCACAGACTCTCAACCAACTCAAGCCATGTTATACTTTCCTTTGCTATCTCATGCAGCTCACTCCAGATTCTCCATATCTTTGAAAGTTCACTCTCTAGCTCCCTTCTCCGTCTGTTTGTTTGTTTACCATGATTACTATGCCCCCGCTGGGTTCCAGTGCTGTGAAATTCTTCTTATATTGTTTGTTTACCATGATTACTATGCCCCCGCTGGGTTCCAGTGCTGTGAAATTCTTCTTATATTGTTTGTTTACCATGATTACTATGCCCCCGCTGGGTTCCAGTGCTGTGAAATTCTTCTTATATTGTTTGTTTACCATGATTACTATGCCCCCGCTGGGTTCCAGTGCTGTGAAATTCTTCTTATATTGTTTGTTTACCATGATTACTATGCCCCCGCTGGGTTCCAGTGCTGTGAAATTCTTCTTATATTGTTTGTTTACCATGATTACTATGCCCCCGCTGGGTTCCAGTGCTGTGAAATTCTTCTTATATTGTTTGTTTACCATGATTACTATGCCCCCGCTGGGTTCCAGTGCTGTGAAATTCTTCTTATATTGTTTGTTTACCATGATTACTATGCCCCCGCTGGGTTCCAGTGCTGTGAAATTCTTCTTATATTGTTTGTTTACCATGATTACTATGCCCCCGCTGGGTTCCAGTGCTGTGAAATTCTTCTTATATTGTTTGTTTACCATGATTACTATGCCCCCGCTGGGTTCCAGTGCTGTGAAATTCTTCTTATTTTGTTTGTTTACCATGATTACTATGCCCCCGCTGGGTTCCAGTACTGTGACATTCTTCTTATATTGTTTGTTTACCATGATTACTATGCCCCCGCTGGGTTCCAGTGCTGTGACATTCTTCTTATATTGTTTGTTTACCATGATTACTATGCCACCGCTGGGTTCCAGTGCTGTGACATTCTTCTTATATTGTTTGTTTACCATGATTACTATGCCCCCGCTGGGTTCCAGTGCTGTGAAATTCTTCTTATATTGTTTGTTTACCATGATTACTATGCCCCCGCTGGGTTCCAGTGCTGTGAAATTCTTCTTATATTGTTTGTTTACCATGATTACTATGCCCCCGCTGGGTTCCAGTGCTGTGAAATTCTTCTTATATTGTTTGTTTACCATGATTACTATGCCCCCGCTGGGTTCCAGTGCTGTGAAATTCTTCTTATATTGTTTGTTTACCATGATTACTATGCCCCCGCTGGGTTCCAGTGCTGTGAAATTCTTCTTATATTGTTTGTTTACCATGATTACTATGCCCCCGCTGGGTTCCAGTGCTGTGAAATTCTTCTTATATTGTTTGTTTACCATGATTACTATGCCCCCGCTGGGTTCCAGTGCTGTGAAATTCTTCTCATATTGTTTGTTTACCATGATTACTATGCCCCCGCTGGGTTCCAGTGCTGTGAAATTCTTCTCATATTGTTTGTTTACCATGATTACTATGCCCCCACTGGGTTCCAGTGCTGTGAAATTCTTCTTATATTGTTTGTTTACCATGATTACTATGCCCCCGCTGGGTTCCAGTGCTGTGAAATTCTTCTTATATTGTTTGTTTACCATGATTACTATGCCCCCGCTGGGTTCCAGTGCTGTGAAATTCTTCTTATATTGTTTGTTTACCATGATTACTATGCCCCGCTGGGTTCCAGTGCTGTGAAATTCTTCTTATATTGTTTGTTTACCATGATTACTATGCCCCGCTGGGTTCCAGTGCTGTGAAATTCTTCTTATATTGTTTGTTTACCATGATTACTATGCCCCCGCTGGGTTCCAGTGCTGTGAAATTCTTCTTATATTGTTTGTTTACCATGATTACTATGCCCCCGCTGGGTTCCAGTGCTGTTTCCATATTGTTTGTTTACCATGAACTATGCCCCCGCTGGGTTCATGTGAAATTCTTCTCATATTGTTTGTTTACCATGATTACTATGCCCCCGCTGGGTTCCAGTGCTGTGAAATTCTTCTTATATTGTTTGTTTACCATGATTACTATGCCCCCGCTGGGTTCCAGTGCTGTGAAATTCTTCTTATATTGTTTGTTTACCATGATTACTATGCCCCCGCTGGGTTCCAGTGCTGTGAAATTCTTCTTATATTGTTTGTTTACCATGATTACTATGCCCCCGCTGGGTTCCAGTGCTGTGAAATTCTTCTCATATTGTTTTGTTTACCATGATTACTATGCCCCCGCTGGGTTCCAGTGCTGTGAAATTCTTCTCATATTGTTTGTTTACCATGATAACTATGCCCCCGCTGGGTTCCAGTGCTGTGAAATTCTTCTTATATTGTTTGTTTACCATGTTTACTTCTTATATGATTACTATGCCCCCGCTGGGTTCCAGTGCTGTGAAATTCTTCTTATATTGTTTGTTTACCATGATTACTATGCCCCCGCTGGGTTCCAGTGCTGTGACATTCTTCCTATATTGTTTGTTTACCATGATTACTATGCCCCCGCTGGGTTCCAGTGCTGTGAAATTCTTCTTATATTGTTTGTTTACCATGATTACTATGCCCCCGCTGGGTTCCAGTGCTGTGAAATTCTTCTTATATTGTTTGTTTACCATGATTACTATGCCCCCGCTGGGTTCCAGTGCTGTGAAATTCTTCTTATATTGTTTGTTTACCATGATTACTATGCCCCCGCTGGGTTCCAGTGCTGTGACATTCTTCTTATATTGTTTGTTTACCATGATTACTATGCCCCCGCTGGGTTCCAGTGCTGTGACATTCTTCTTATATTGTTTGTTTACCATGATTACTATGCCCCCGCTGGGTTCCAGTGCTGTGACATTCTTCTCATATTGTTTGTTTACCATGATTACTATGCCCCCGCTGGGTTCCAGTGCTGTGACATTCTTCTCATATTGTTTGTTTACCATGATTACTATGCTCACGCTGGGTTCCAGTGCTGTGACATTCTTCTTATATTGTTTGTTTACCATGATTACTATGCCCCCGCTGGGTTCCAGTGCTGTGACATTCTTCTTATATTGTTTGTTTACCATGATTACTATGCCCCCGCTGGGTTCCAGTGCTGTGACATTCTTCTCATATTGTTTGTTTACCATGATTACTATGCCCCCGCTGGGTTCCAGTGCTGTGAAATTCTTCTCATATTGTTTGTTTACCATGATTACTATGCCCCCGCTGGGTTCCAGTGCTGTGAAATTCTTCTCATATTGTTTGTTTACCATGATTACTATGCCCCCGCTGGGTTCCAGTGCTGTGACATTCTTCTCATATTGTTTGTTTACCATGATTACTATGCCCCCGCTGGGTTCCAGTGCTGTAACATTCTTCTTATATTGTTTGTTTACCATGATTACTATGCCCCCGCTGGGTTCCAGTGCTGTGACATTCTTCTCATATTGTTTGTTTACCATGATTACTATGCCCCCGCTGGGTTCCAGTGCTGTGAAATTCTTCTTATATTGTTTGTTTACCATGATTACTATGCCCCCGCTGGGTTCCAGTGCTGTGAAATTCTTTTTATATTGTTTGTTTACCATGATTACTATGCCCCCGCTGGGTTCCAGTGCTGTGAAATTCTTCTTATATTGTTTGTTTACCATGATTACTATGCCCCCGCTGGGTTCCAGTGCTGTGAAATTCTTCTTATATTGTTTGTTTACCATGATTACTATGCCCCCGCTGGGTTCCAGTGCTGTGAAATTCTTCTTATATTGTTTGTTTACCATGATTACTATGCCCCCGCTGGGTTCCAGTGCTGTGAAATTCTTCTTATATTGTTCTCAGGCTTTCTTAATGTGTGTCTTATCCATAAAAAGCATTTTATTCTTCACCTCTTGGTTCACTGGAATTTGCTTAGTTTTCTCCAAAAACTCCACATCAGTGATTCTGTCATGCCATTTGATTCCCTCTCTCCTGCACAGGCACCAGTTAATGAATGTTTGTAGTTTATTTAGTGATATTTTTTGGTGCTCCTCATTGTTTCAGTTACATTCAGCAGTACTGATTTGACACTGGAGCTATAAATATTTTAAGTTTAAAACTAGTTTTGATTTTCTTTGACTTCTGTATTTCCTGGTGCTATGAAAACACCTCTTCCCTTTTGTATTCATTTTCAAACAGCAAACTATGCAGTATATTATATATGTCCTCACATTTGAATGCATGCCCTCAAAGCATTTTGTAATTGTGTTTTTCCACAGAGATACTGAATGTGTCAAAAGAGGAGTTGATGGTGATGGCAGTTACAGACATAATCAGTGAATTGATAGTCGCTGACAGGGACAAGAAAGATGTTGATCTAAACAAGTATGTTGATAGTAATGTGTGTGTGGATCACAGGCACCGGTTGGTTGCAGCTGCGCAAGCAGACTGATAAGAAAATCCTACTATTAGGACTGATCACTGAACCCTTGTGTTGACTAAATAACTACCATACCAGCATGGTCACTGGTGATAAAAACATCCAAAGTACTGAAGGGAGCAACATGACAATCAGCTCATGTTTTTTTTTTCCTCTTTCCTTTTGAAGCTGCTTTTTTTTTTCTAGGCATAATTTGTTTCAGCACTACTGTAACAAACTCTTTGCCATGAGTAACTACCATACTAGCGTGGTCACTGCTGATAGAACATCCAAAGAACCAAATGGAGCAGCATGACAGTCAGTTCATTTTTGCTATTTGTTTCTTTTTGAAGCTGCTTATTTGTATCTTTTTTGTGTGTTTCTAGGCATCAATTGTTTCAGCACTACTGTAACATGCACTTTACCATGAGTAACTGCCATACTAGCATGGTCACTGCTGATAAAACATCCAAAGTACCGAAGAAAGCAACATGACAATCAGTTCATGTTTGCTTTTTTCTTTTGAAGCTGCTTATTATTTTCTTTCTAGGCATCATTTGTTTCAGCACTACTGTAACAACATACACTTTGCCATGAGTATCTGCTCATTTTTTGTTTCAAAGACACTTGAGTACTAGCACCTTTTCTCTAGATAAAAGCCGCAGCTAGATCTGTATGTTATAGATCAGTCGGCACCGTATGGCTGAGGTAGTCAACATCAAGCTGGCCACCCTTTCAGAAAATTACCCTGTACCCATTGTAGGCTGGGTAGAAAAAGAAATCTATTTTGATGCAGATTTGAACCTTAGACCTTTAGGTTGGCAGGTGAGCATCTAGCTGCTAATCTGTTGCAGCTCCCTGGTATGTAATACTTTACCGTAAATGATACTCTTACCACAGGGAAATCAATCAACAAAACACAGGTTCTCAAATTTTACTCTTACCACAGGGAAATCAATCAACAAAACACATATTCCCAAATAATACCCTTACCACAGGGAAATAATGGGCCACTCAAACATCCAAGACCTACAACAGATTGCAACGAACCGTCATGCATGGAGAGTCATAACCTCTGCCCTATGTGCTGCACTCGACACAAGAGGAAAGACTAACTAACTAACTAACTAACTAACAGGGAAATCAGTCAACAAAACATGGGTTCTCTAAAGATGAGGTCATTTCTGTGACACAAGACATTGAGAATGCTTTTATGCATCCTATTTATCAAAATCTTGTTTCAGATATGACATGCCCTGATTGTTTTGTTTAGAGTTTGAAGGTGTTTCTCTCCCCCAGACTGAAGACAAGAATTTCAAGCAAGTACAATATGGCAAGTCAGCCACGCCTTGTAGACATAATTGCTGCTGTTCCACAGGAATATAAAAAGGTACTATTTCTGTTGAATCTCTTAACCTCTTAACTCTTTTCAACAGCTGTTGCTCTAGCCTTGCTTCTTCATAATCAACCAGTTGTCCTGGAGCTATATTTTTAACTTGTGTAAAGATTTATTGAAGGAAGAGATTTGTATTTCAACTTTTGTTGAAAATAGGAATTTGCCAGGTGTCCTTACCCTGTTTCCAATAAAAAAAATCTTTTATTTTCCGGATTGCCCCTCATTAACAATATAAAACAGGCCAATTATTTAACGAGGCTTATTTCTCATAATTATGGGAGCCGCTGTAGTGTAGTGGCTAGACACTTATCTACAGATCCAAAATTCATTGGTTGACGTCTGCATTGAACCTGATATTTTTCATACATGACCTTGGCTTCCAGGTTGACCTAGCATTAAATGGTTAACAGGTGGAGTCCTGGTAAGTAAAGGCGGCCGGTATCATTTTGACCACATCACCCATTAAGGGCCAGCTGGTTTATCAAAATATGAGTCTAGCTTCGTATGCCCGATGCACCACTAGCGTGTAAAGGGACCTTGACTTTTTACTGACTTTTGTTTCTCATAATTTGTCATTTACCCATTAAACATGTTTATTGGATTATAAGACAGAAATAAACTGTGGTTCTATCCCAATAATTCACACCAAATGCTGCCACGGGACAGTCCAAGAATTGTGAGGGTGGTAAGAGTGGGACCCCCACTTTCTGGGTGTCTTCCAAAGCGTTGCCAAGGTTTTGGCACATTTTTTCTTCCGGCGGGGTCTCTCCAACGACTTGTCTTCATCACCATGAATTTCCTGGAATAAGCAGCATCGATGCCTGACAAAGAGAGCAGCGTTGCTTTCCTGCAACATCATGGTATTCTGCGTAGCACCAGACGGTTTGGCAATATTCATGCGATGGTGTTATCACTGACGAAAAAAGGCAAGAACCACTGGCGGTGTCGAAAGTCGACTTGTCCTGGACATACCGTTACAGCAAGGAAAATAGCTGGAAGTGTCGGGCCTACTTTCCAGACAGATCATTCTCTTTTTGTATTACTGGTCTCACAAGTTGACAGGCATTCATTTTTTCCAAGAAGAGCAAGGTATGTCAAAGAATACAATTTTAGAGTGGAGCAACTACATATACGAGGCCTGTGCCAACACATTATTATTTAATCCTGCAGTGATCGCCGGAGAGAACACCACTGTTGAAATTGATGGAAGTCTGTTTACAAGGTGGAAAGGTCATGTGTGATGAGTGTTTCTACAACAGTGGGTATTTAGTGGCATCTGTTGCGAAACAGGCAAATGCTTTGTGTTCTGTGTTCCAGACAGAAAAGCAGAAACACTTCTGCCGATAGAAAACTAAGTGGAACCACATGGAGTGCTAGCGGGAAAATACTTAGGAAAGTTTACCAACAAAGTGTTCAACCGCATCTTGAATACGGATCAACAGCATGGAGTTCGGCAGCAAAAACCACATTGCAAGAATTAGACAAAGTGCAAAATCAAGCACTCAGAGTTACCACAGGCAGTATGAAATCAACACCTATAGCTGTGATAGAGAAAATGGGGATGACCCAAGCACTGAGTGAACGCAGAGACACCAAGATGCTTTTACAAGCAGAAAAGTTTCTTAGTATGCCCAGTCACCCTATGAATGAAAGATTCCAAAATCTAGGTTTGGGACGACTAAAGAGAAGTAGTTTCATCCACCAGGCCAAACTGCTCTGCAGACAAACCACTGATTTGCCTGCAACTGATAGATCCTTAAATGTTGTCCCAGAACGGACCCCCTGGAGAGAGGAGTATAAGTTTCCAATACACATCAAGACAGAAGTGAAAGAAGTATTTGACAAGGAAGAACAAAACAGTGTTCAGCGCAAAACAGCCACCCTCAGTCTACTTGATGATGAATACCCACAGAATCTTTGGGTCCGTGTTTACACAGATGGGTCAGCAGAAAGTGCAGGCAGAAACGGAGGTGCAGGAGTGTACATTGAGTACCCTAATAATACCAGGGATACAGCCAAAATACCAACAGGAAAGCACTGTCACAACTATGATGCAGAAGTTCAAACCATCAAGATAGCGGTAGAGAAACTGCTAAATACAGGGTATTTTTCACAAGCAGTGGTATTCCTGACAATGCAAAAGCGGTACTTCAGGCACTCCAGTCTGGAAAATTACCAAGCATACGGACACTATTTTCCGAACTAGGCAGCCGTTGTAAATTAGTAATGCAGTGGATACCTTCCCACTGTGGAGTTCCCAGAAACGAAAGAGCTGATAAACTAGCTAAGGAAGGTGCAACTGAAGAACAACCCGACATACCAGTCTCTTATGAATAGCAGAAGAGAATGATCAAATCAATCAGAATGCCACCGAAACTGGCACAAGACGGTTACCATATTATGGACAGACCAGAGCAAGTCATTATCCTTCGCCTTAGAACAGGGCACAATCGACTTCGCTGCCACATGTACAACAAATTTAAGATTGGCCAATCAGCCATGTGTACCTGTGGACTGGCACATGAGACAACAGATCACATCCTCCAAGACTGTCCCAGATTCAACGCTTCCAGGCAAAACTTCTGGCCAAAAGAGACACTTGTGGAAGTCAAACTTTACGGGCCAATTAGAGAATTACAAAAGAAAGTGAAATTCATACTAGAGACAGCATTGCAGATATAGATAATTTATTTCATGCGAACGAAAGAAGAAAACTTCTGCCGATCATTAGCACAAACATAAGACCTGGCACGACAGTAGCCCCCAACCTGTGGCGTGCTTACAATGGAATTGAGAATATTCCTGTATTGATGCATCTCACCGTGCATATACGCAATGCATCGAGCACCGCAACAGCAGGTGCAGTATTCCTACCTTTCTCCAGATCTACTAACATATAAAATTGTTCTGATTGTCAATTCATATGTGAACCCAGCAGTATACATCTAGAATGATTGGCCCTTTTTTGACACCCCTACAGTACCCCAATTGACAATCTATCCCTGACTGCACATAGAGTTTCTAAAAAAACTAAATTGTTGTCAGCTGCTGGTTATATTGAGTGTTTATATTCCACGATGTGAGCCCTTTTAACAACCCCAAAACATTCACAACTGGCCCTAATCTCCAAACCACCTACGTGTTATAAAGTTTGAAAGGCCCCTCATTCAATGGCTTGGCTTTGGCCCCTATTGTTATAAAGTAATATCGACGCCAATTTATCACACGCTTCTAACATTGTTCAGAGGCATCTCTTGCTGACCAAGCGTTCACAAGGTGACTGATTATGCCTCTCAAAGTGTAGTGAAGTGTGGTGGAAGTACTAAGTTAACACAGTTCTCAGAGTCATAACATACTACTAACACTGCGAGCCAACCACATCAACAACATGTGCAGAGTCATTTCTTTACTCGTGCTTCAGCCTGTTTATTTGGACGCAACACAACATAATGATGAGCATGAACAGGTAAAACCGGATGACTGCCCATCTCTCCACCTATACACTATACTAAGCTACCAAGGCGGTGTCACATGAAAGAGCACTTCTCACCTTGACTCAGCGGGCGTCCACAACATTCTCCTTCCTGTCTTGTTTCCTTAGTATCCTACACCTCCTCGCATCGTCACCCAAGACAGATTCTTCTCCTAGGCTACGTGCCCTCACTTCGGGTCACCCTAACCCATACATGATAACTGGTTAGAGACTCAGCCCCAGCCTTCTAGTCTCTCGATACGCAGTCATATCAGTACACACTAAACCTGCGCATCAGAATCATAGACAATCCTCACGAGATGATACACAATCTCGCTATCGCGATTACGCCACACGTCATTGCTTGACTTCAGTTGACCTTGTGGTAAATAACATTATGGGCCTTCCACGCCTTGTCTCCACAGAATCCACAGAGCATTTCGAATCATACACCAAAGTTCTAATGCACAAGCTCAACTTTCACTGAACTAAAATGATACACATAATTACTTTTAAAAATTCACAAACATCAGGACATGAATTCACAGACATCAGACCATGCGTCAGCTCACTCGGACTTGCTGAGAGGCACTGAACTCGAGACCCACAGTCCCTCTTTAGCTCCTTCTCTGAGCTCCTCAAGGTTCTCGCTAAGCTCATGCAAGTCACTGTTATTTGTGAATCTCTAGAAACACCTCTTTCACGAATGGGTGATCATCATGAATCTTTGCACTCGTCTCTCACCTCAAGCCACAAGGACCCCTTTTTCCCACGTCTCTATTACCATCATCATCTGTGCCTCTTCAACTGGCGTAGGCTATCACGCCTCTGGCCACCAGCCTAGTGAATTTAGCACACAACACTACTATGCAGCCTAGGTCCTCTTCTCCAGGAAAAAACAAGAAAACACTCACAAAAACTCATGATTGCACCAACACACAGAAAAATGCACACCCAAAAAAAAAGAAGCACATGAAACTGAAAAAACAGCACAAGAAGCAAACAAAACAGAAAACTGGACAGCACAAAACTACACAGCAAATGAAATACTAAATTACTAACTATAGGCTTCATCTACCACCCCCTGAAATATTAGACTGTCCCGTGACCTTTGGATTTCCTGTGTTTGGGGTGAATAATTGAAATAGAACCAAAACTGTTACATTAACTTGCCAAGAGTACTTTCAAGACTTTTTAAAGCTATGTTTATAGAAATTGTATTTGAAAAAAATTTCATTTGGCTGAAAAATTTTGTTTTGTAATGGTTTGTGGATTCTGTAGTTTTTCAGCTTCTGTAGCTGTTTATTGACTAATAAATGCACAAACACTTAAACTACACAGAGACCAACTCTGACATCAGTGAGACAAGGAAATGGGACACAGCTGTGCTCAAATACACTGAGAAAAGAAACACAATGTATTCATAAATATCAAATCCTGTAATCTTCAAAATTCATGGGTGGAATAGATAACATTAGCCTTTGAGATATAAGGTGTGCTTAATGGATAATTTTTTTCTTTGGTTCAGTGTGTATCTTTAATTAAATGACAGATTATCATCTTTGCAGATCGAACCATTCTGTCCATAATTGCTCGAATCCCCTCAATAAATCCAGCAGCTATAGCGGCTGACAACACCAGTCTTGTGCTTTGGCTTCCTGCATAGGCTCTTGTCAGGCCACACTCCTTTTAACATGCTATTCTTGCAGTGTGGTTATAAGATGGCCTTGAAATATTTGTCATAATATATCCATTGTTTCTTGAGACCTGTGGGGCTGATGGTTGAATAAATAGCACTGTTTATGTTGGACATGTGAATATAAAGGAAGTAACTTTTGATTGGTAACAACTGCAGAAACATTTTTGATATAGATGTCAATGGACAACTGTTTTATTACCAGGTGTTACTTCCCAAGCTGAAAGCTAAACCTGTTCGCACAGCCAGTGGGGTAAGTCGTGTGTCATTCATGCGGTTAATTATTAGGGATGGGTGTGAATATTTAGAAAGCTTCTGTGCTAAGTGTTATATACCATTGATGTGTTAAATGTTAGAAATAGATGTGAATATTTGGAAAATTTACTTGCTCGTGCATTTGTTAGTCTCCAGTTAATCCCTTTTTCTGTAATTATCAGTTGCTTTTTTTAAAAATATGTATACATACACACACACCAGGATGTCTTGTTGCTAGTTGTCTGTATTGTAGCATTCACTGTATTTTAATTTGTGGTTGATTGCTGACAGTACCAGTAACTACACTACACAAGATGTTACTTTGAGCAGTCTATTTTTCAGTTATAGTGGGATTAAATAGAAGAAGTGAAAAGAACATCAACATCACCAGACAGGCTCTGAATGAGGAAACAAGTGGATTAAGGAAACATCCAAGAGAAACTCTGAAACAAATGTTGATGAAAGAGGCCAAAGGTGGTGGACTGAATTCCGCAGGAATCATTAGAGTGGAGGAATAGACTTCAGGCTCTTTATGATACATACTGGCACAATAGGATGATGATGATGATGAAAAAATATAAGTGTAACTATATATGCTGACACTTCTTGAAATTAATTACAGATTTTAAAAAAAAAATGGCTGCAGTTTTTGTCATGTTAGATATAACAGGAACCTGGGCATTATCACATTTATCACAGGTGTTATTATAGGGCTTGTGATCACCAAGTGTAGCTAGTGACAACAGCATGCTACTCTTTCCAATGTTTTATTCAAGTGCTATAATTTAAAAAAAAAGTGTTGGCCAGTAATGAGTGAGAAATATAATAAGTAACAAGTTTCACCTATCTTGGGTTTTTAATAACAAATTATGTCAGAAGTTAATGAAATAGAAGTCAAAAAGAGAATAGGAATGGCCACAAATGTTTTCAGCAGCAATTATAGTGGCAGACTATTTGTGTAGGCACTTCTGGCAGTTGCCTAATGCATTTAATGTGTGTGTATGCTGTTGGCTTTGCCAAGGCTACATTCCTTTACAATTTTTTTTTAATTGAGAGACAGTGATAGGTGTGGTTTTCATTGGCATAGATTTGGTGGAGCAATTATGGTCTAACTAATAATATTTCATATATACTTGCACAGCCTTGAATAGACATGGATATTGACTAAATGATTGCTGTTTAGTTATGAAACTATCAACTGTGCATGATGGTTGGTTATTCCGGAGGGTATCCTGATTAAATCTGATTGTTTTATGTACATCCTTAGATTGCAGTTGTGGCAGTCATGTGTAAGCCTCATAGATGTCCACATATTGCCATGACAGGAAATATTTGTGTGTAAGTGACATATTTCTGTAGTTAATGAAGAAATGATTTCTTGATGGGGCTCTCCCCACACATGCTGTCCCCTTCTATAGCAGCCAATAAAGATTTCCCTTGCTGTTGTACCAGATTAAATGTACGCCTTTTTTTCCTCGCGCACGTTGAGTTACATTCAGACTCTGTACTGCCCATGAACTGGTCTTCCTATGTATGTTTATGCTGTTCTGCTGGTTATCATAGAGACATTATGTCATCTCAAAGAGCGTTTATCATGTCTGCCTTATAATAAAATAGTTGCTCCCCACCCTCATTTCCACTGCCGTCTGCCAGTTGATCGCCCTTAGAGTTATTAAGTTTTTCTAAATAGGTAATGAAGGATACCGATTCTAAATATGGTAATAACAACACTTTTTCACCATCCTCTCATACTATACCTGTCCTGTACCACATATGGCTCTCCTGTAGTCTTTATTGTTGTAAGCGTTTCCATTCATATCCACTAAGGTTGTGATGCCACTACATTAGCTCTGTCGTTAAGCATGGTTAAAAGAAATGTTGGTCCAATCAGGAAGATTTAGTGCAATTCAATCACTTAGTCCATTGTCAACCTTGGAACCTTCTGAAAGATGGTGTGAGATATGTCAGAGATGTATTACTGTGTATAGACTCTTTACAGCCACCTCAGGGCTGTACTGAGAAAACAGACATGATTGAAACCACTTTGTTGTTTACATTGTTTTTGCTGTATATTTAAACAAGTAAGGCAGAATATTGCATAGCCTACATGTAACAGCTGATAAGTTGTGGGAAAAGATGACTGACAAAGGAGGCAAGGGACAGTACTGGTCAAACTTGAACATAAAATGACAAGGGCACATGGGCTAATAGATTCTGCTAGCCAATAGTTAGTGTGAAGAAGCAGCATGATCTACCAAGTCACTTAGCAAGGTACTTGATGATGATATCTTGCATGGGCGAGGAAAACTTGTAACCAAGTGCTGTTTGCATCTGTTCCTACTGTATATATTCTGTTTTAAAATATGATGCTAAAAGTACAGACTGGTCTGTCAGTGAAACAGGTTCTTCTAGTGTTGTTTGAGTTTCTGTTTGTTGAGCATCTTTTATTATTGTTTATAGTTTGTAGACTGCAAGAACATTTGAACAGGCTAAGTTCAACATGCAGAAGATATAACATGAGTATAAATACTGCTAAAACTGAAGTCATGCAGGTCAGCAGAATTCTTAGTCTGCTACAAATCGGGTTGAATGGTTCTTGTCTGAAGCAAGTTACAGAATTTAAATATCTAGGAAGTATTTTCACGGAGGATGGAAGAATAATTCAGGAAATAGAAATAAAATACCAGTAAGCTAGTGCACTTATATACCAACTGTCACGTTAATAAAACATCCTAACATAAGTGTGAGCACCAAGAAACAGATTATAAACAGCATATTCATACCAACACTGTGCTATCAGTGCCAGGCTTGGACATTATCAATGGCTAAACTATGTAAAATTAACACACCATGAAATTAGATATCAAATAAAAGCTGCCCGCGAAATGAAATGCCTGAGAAAAGCCAACTTAACCATCTGAGACAAAGTTAGAAATGATATTATCAGACTGTAGGAACAACACCATGCAGTGAATTCTTTGAGAAACAGAAGATCAGATGGTTTGGTCATCTAGTAAGAATGCAGCCAGAACAACTACCAGTGCAGGCGCTACATATGAAAAGATCTAAAGTGAATGCAACAGGCCGCTTTAGGGGATGATGGATTGATGACATTAAAGAGCCTCTACATTGACACGGAATGACCATAGGCATTGCTGCCCATTAAGCAGTGAATCACAAACTGTTCTCCCCATAATGCTCAACAGCAGTGAAAATTGATGATGATGATGATAAGTTGTTAACATACTAAACAAACAGGTACCAATTCTGGAAACCTTATTCAACCATAACAATTATATTAGCTCCCAATGGTTACATAATAACAAAGTCCAGCCTGGGCAGGTGATTGTGCTGATTGTGTGAAGACACTCTCAAGAGTCCTGATTAGAGTGAAATCATTGTTTAACATGTATGTTATCTGTAGGCTAGAGCTGTGATATCAAATAATGCATGTAGTATATAAACACTTGCTATCTTCTTGTAGCTACTGTCCTGGGGGACCAGATTCAGATTTTGAATACTCAACTCAATCTTACACTGGATATGAGGTTAGTAGATGTGTCACCTGGGACAAGGAATCAAAAATTTTCATTTTGAAAATTTTTTTTTAGTTATACATCATTTTGAGCAGGTTCTTTGCAGATTGCACTACAATCACAGTCTGCCTGAAAGAAACTTGGTCTCTCACCAGCTCTTCCACTTTGTACACTTTCATATCCAAGGAGTTGCTTATATCCTATGCCAGTATTTATATTGGTCAGCTTCTTCCACTCCTTCCTGGTACTGTGCCTTCTGCTATTATTTTTGTTCCAATCTGGTGTGGCGCTTGATAGGACACAAATATTTTGGCTTTGAAGACAAGATGCTGTTTATTAGCCAAGCTTCTTTAATGTTTAGATCTTTTAGAATGTCAGTATTTCTTGTCTTCTTTGTCCATTTCTGGGAATCTTTCTAAAGCATTTCAGCTCAGAAGCTCCTGTTTTCTTCATTCAGGACCAGGAGATACTCCATGACTCTCAACAGTATGTTGCTACAGGGAAGATACAATCTGTCAGAATTTTAACTTTTGATTTCCTTTCTGGTGCTTAACCATTTTGATGCTGTTTAAGAAAATTATTTGCATATTTTAAAACCGGACTATCTTGAGTAGGTCACCAATTTGCAATCACAGATGTTTTTGAAGTACTGTTTTCTTCTGACCATGGTTTGCTTATGCAATTTCCACAAAGGGATTGGTGTCCTCAGTTTTTTTTACCCTAGGTTACTGAGTTGAGTGACTGGTGCACAACTATATTTTGTGGCCTCATCTGTTTGTGTTACGATTTTCAGAAAGAAGCGATTGGCCATTCAGAATTCAGGCTGGCGATGGGCCCTGTTCAATAATTGTATGTTAGTACGGCCAGACTGACTACTTCCATCAGCGACAATCTGCAATTCTGGTGCAGACTGTTGGTTTTGCCACCTCTAGTGACTGCCTTATGTTATTACTGGTGTGCAAGCTTCTGGATTTTGCCAGGACTGATTGTCTGTTGACTGTTTCCATAGTGGATAGGGAAGGGAATTGTTCACTGGCACAGGAACAGAGCAATACAGTGACCCATTTGCAATGAGATCGAAATCTCGACTACCCACTGGCAGTCCCAGGTGTTTTTATTTTGTCATCACAATTATTTATGTTTTAAAGCATTGTTAAGTGATTTATTTACAATTGTCACATCTAAAAGCAAGTACTGTTACATTTTAGTTGTAATTATAATAAAGGAAGTAAGAGGGAATGTACTAATTACAGAGGAATATCACTTCTCAGTCACACTAGGAAAATGTATGCTAAGATCATCGAAAAAAGGCTGAGACCGTTGATAGAGTATCAACTTTCAGAAGCACAGATGGGCTTTCGACGAAACAGAAGTTGCACAGATGCCATTTATACATTGAGACAACTATCAGAGAGGGCAATAGAACATGATAAGACATGTTTGTTGACATTCATAGACCAAGAAAAAGCCTTCGATAGTGTCAACAGGAATATGTTGTGGGAATGTATGGGGAAAAAAGGAATCAGCAATCATCTCATTAATATTTGCAAAAGCCTGTACACACGTAGTAAATGCTGCATAAGATCGAAGGCAGGGTTTTCAAGAACTTTTATAGTGAACTCTGGTGTGCGTCAGGGCTGTGTACTATCGCCGCTTCTTTTTATAACATACATGATACCATATGTAGTGAAACAAACTTTAATCATGAAGAAGATATTACAGAATTACTTTTCGCCGATGACCAGGTACTCATAGCAGAAAATATGGAATGCCTACAGAACCATCTAAATCAAATTAGTAACAAAGGGGAGGAATATAATATGAAAATAAACACTACGAAGACAGAGACAATGATGATAGGAAGACATAAAGACAATTTAGAAATTAAATTAAAAAACAACACCCTGAGACAAACAGAGGAATTTAAGTATTTGGGAATAATTTTTACATCAGACGGAAAACTGGACAGAGAAATTAGCTCCAGATGTGCCAAAGCTAATCAAGTAATGGGTCAACTATCTCCCCTGTTGACACACAAGCAGATACCTCGGAGTACTAAAGTGAATCTTATCAGAACTATTTTTTGGCCAACACTTTGTTATCAATGCCAAACATGGTCATTTACATCCTCCAATGAACGTAAAATTGTGACAACAGAGATGAAATGCCTTAGAAGAGCTGCAGGAGTTTCAAGGAAAGAAAGACAGAATACGAAATCATGAAATCAGACGAATGCTAGGAATAAAGCCAGTCTTACAGGTCATCAAAGAACAACAAATGAAATGGTTTAGACACCTAACAAGAATGCCCTGGTACTATCCGCCACAGCGAGCCACACTAAAACGTTACAACAGGTATAGAGCGAGTGGAAGACCTCGGAAAAGATGGAGTGATGGCATTAAGAACAGCCTTACAGAAATGAACATCATTCTTAATAGTGCTCCTGACAGAGCTCATCAACGAACATTACATCTCCCCCTGACACTTCGATGAGGTACAAGGTGGAAGAGAAGAAGAAAAAGAAGAAGTTGTAATTATATTGTCACATCTAAAAGCAAGTACTATTACATTTTTGTTGTAATTATGTTGTCACATTTAAAAGCAAGTATTATTACATTTAAGTGGCGCGGTGATTTATGTCACAGGCGTGAGGGGAAGTTAAGTCCAACATGATGTGTATAAGGAGATACTCCGTACGTCACTCGGGCGCCAGTCCTTCACTATCCTGGTTGTACGGATCCTCACGCAAGACCCCTATAGCACGTCCTCGTCGTGCGCCACGGATAATGTCTCAAATGAGCATTAACAGAGCTGTCAGGGGATCTCGGAGTTTGGCGGCCCCCAGAGGTGATGTGTCCTTGTGGCTCTCATCAGCCCGCCCCAAACGCTTGGGTGAAAAATGTTATCAAAACTCATTAGGAACATGAGTAGGGTTGACAAACATACAGCTAAAATTACAACCCTTGGTTAAAAGACTGCTGAGTAAAGAGAACATTGCTCACTGCACATCCTCTGTTAATTCTCAGTGTCGTCGTCACCGCGCTGAGGGGCAACACAACAGCAACCATCCATGGGCTGGCCATCCTTGTGCATCCCCGGTTGGCCCTCAGTGTCGTCGTCACCGCGCTGAGGTGCACCACAACAACAACCATCCATAGGCTGGCCATTCACGTACATCCTCGGTTAACCCTCAGTGTCGTCGTCACCGCGCTGGGGTACACCACAACAGCAACCATCCATCAGATGGCTAAGCCTAAATGTCTGACAAAACTAGATCATACGGATCAAAATCTGACCATCAAAATTTGCACTGAACTGAAAGAGACCGAATATCCACACCCAAAGACCTCACTCGCCCGAGTGTTGGGAAAAACTGACAACGATATGCCTGATTCAGGATGTGAAATTCTGTCGGGCTAATGTACCTATCTGTGTGGTCACAAAAGTCCAAAACCCAAAGGCTGCTCCCCGCTGACTTCCAGAGGGCGCAGCCCCTGTCGAGCGGGAGGCCTGATACGGTTGTGAGGCTAAGCAGGCATGTGCAGGACGTGACGATTCCTTGGGTGAGCCCAGAAACAGAGCGATATGTGCCGGCTCTGCATGCATGGAAGCCTCCTTGGATGGCGGGGAATGCCCATGATCTGCCCCTGCCTTCCCTTGAGGGCCAACTGTTCCACAGGGGGCTGCCCCAAAGGGGTACTCCGGGGGCAATACCTGCGGCGAAGGAGACAAAATGGACACCACACAAATCAGGCAACGTTTCGACCCACACAAAACAATGGCCACAGTCACCCTAGAAATAGGCCTGACGTCTTCCCTCGAAGTCGGCGTACAGCTGCCCAAGAGGCAGGAAAATGAAAAACGGTTGTACACGCAAAAATCAGGTCCAGGTGAAAGCCAAAAGTCCAAGCGGACGATTAACCGGGACCTTCCACTGGAATTCACAGCCGGTGTTCGATGAAAAAAAAAAAAAAATTACATTTAAGTTGTAATTAATGAATTCCAGAGAAATTTGACTAAAAAGCTCAACAAAATGTAATTATATTGTCACATTTAAAAGCAAGTATTATTACATTTCGCCCGTGTGTCACCGGGGCCCTCACGGGAAGCAAAGAATAGTGACACTGCACCCTACCAGGCATGTCGTAAGAGGCGACAAAGGATAGGGTTGGGCTTGAGGTTGGCTACCTCATCCTGTAAAAACCATAGCCACAAAAACCAACCAACCATGGATAAGTCAAAAAGAGAAGCAAATAAAATCCAGCCAACCAAGATGAGGGAAGGCTCTTCAAATAGAAGTATGACACGGTGTGGAGAAAGCCGCAAGGAGTCCGGATCGTTGATGTACCTCCTCTCAGCTAGGAAAACCTCCAGAATTGGCACCTGGAATGTTAGAACTCTCTATGATATAGGGAGAACAATGGAAGTAGCAGAGGAAATGAAACATTATAGAATTAGTATTTTAGGGTTATGTGAAACTAGATGGACTGGGGCAGGGAAAAGTATTCTAAATTCAGGAGAAACTATTTTGTTCTCAGGACACACAGAGGAAAATTCGCCGCACAGTGAGGGAGTGGCCCTGATGCTATCAAAAGAAGCAGAAAGGGCACTAATAGAATGGGAAGCTGTGAGTCCCAGAATAATAAGAGCATCTTTTAGAACAGTTAAAGTGAAGGTGAACATCTCGGTAATACAGTGTTATGCACCAACAAATGATAAAGATGCATCTGTTAAGGAAGAATTTTACATGCAGCTTCAAAAATATTATAAATAATGAAAGAAAGGGCAACTTAAAAATTTTGATGGGTGACTTGAATGCTAAGATAGGATCAGACAACACAGGTTATGAAGAAATTATGGGGAGACATGGTCTAGGAGTAATGAATGAAAATGGAGAATTGTTCACAAATTTTTTGTGCAGGTAACCAGTATGTTATTGGTGGAAGTATTTTTTCCCATAAAAGTATACACAAGGCAACATGGGAATCACCAGACCATAAGACAACTAATCAAATTGACCACATATGTATTAACAAAAAGTTTAGATCATCCCTTTACGATGTTAGGGCTTTCAGAGGTGCCGATGTATTTACTGACCATTTCCTGGTGGTAAGTAAAATCAAGTTGAAACTAAAAAGATATATAACATCTTATAATCATAGAAACCAATATAATGTAGGCTTTCTCAGAGATAAAGAAATTAAGGAACAGTTCTCAGTTACAGTCTCTAATAAGTACCAGGTGTTGCAGCAGTTAGCTGAAGATGTCAACACAGAAGTCTGCTGGGATCAGATCAAAGGAATCTGGAATTAATCTTGCGTAGAAGTTCTTGGCAAGAAAGAAAGGAAACATAAAGCATGGATAACACCAGAAACCATTAAACTGATTGAAGATAGGAAAAGTAAAAAGGCAGAATTAAACAATAGCAAAACTAGAGCTGCTAAAGCTAGAGCTCAGGAGAAATACACAGAAGCCAACAAGGAAGTTAGGAGGCATATAAGGGCAGATAAAGTGAAATATCTAAATGATCTAGCACAAGAAGCAGAGACAGCAGCAGCAAAAGGAAACCTCAGAGAACTTTACAGTGACACAAGAAACTTAGTAGGTAAATATAGTCAGCCAACTGGATCAATCAAAAATAGTAAAGGAAAGGTACTTACTAACACTAAAGATCAAATGGACAGATGGGTTGAATATTTTGAAATGCTTCTAAATAGACCAGGCCCAGAGGTTCCCCCAGATATCCAGCCTTTAGAAATGGAACTGGATATCAACTGTGAGATACCATCCAAAGAGGAAATTAGGAAAGCTATAAATCTTCTCAGGGAAGGAAAGGCGACAGGCCCAGACGGTATCCCAGCTGAAGCCATCAGGGCCAACATAAACACATCAACAGAATTGCTACATAGATTATTCAGTAAAGTCTGGGAGACCGAAGAAATACCAGCAGACTGGAGAGAAGGATATCTTGTGAAACTGCCCAAAAAAGGTGATCTACAGGAGTGTGAAAACTATAGAGGAATTATGTTGCTGTCAGTTCCTGGAAAAATATTAAGTAGAATTATTTTGGAAAGATTAAAAGATGCTATTGATAAAATGCTAAGAGATGAGCGGGCAGGTTTTCGGTCAAACAGATCCTGTACTAATCAGATAGCCACATTACATATTATAATAGAGCAAAGCATTGAACTGAACTCACCACTTTACATTGGATTTATAGACTATGAAAAAGCATTTGACAGCATAGATAGGGAATCTCTCTGGAAATTGATGGGGCACTATGTAATCCCACAGAAAATTATCAACTTAGTAAAGGCAACATATAAAGACATGAAATGTCGAGTTCCTCATGAGGGAAAGCTAACAGATGCATTTGAAATAAAAACAGGTGTGCGACAGGGATGTCTTTTGTCGCCTCTCTTATTTTTACTGGCTATAGACTGGACTATGAAAACAGTAACTGCTAACACCAAGAATGGAATTCAGTGGACCCCTACAAAACAGCTTGATGATCTGGACTTCGCTGATGATATTGCTCTTCTGTCCCATTCACGGAATCAGATGCAAGATAAATTAAATATACTTAATGCGAGATCAAAACAGCTTGGTCTGAAAATCCATAAAGGAAAGACAAAGATAATGAGAATAAATCAGGCAAATAGTAATGTGGTTTCTCTTAATGGCACCCCACTCCAAGACGTGGAGCCGTACACCTATTTAGGCAGTAATGTAGATAAAGATGGAGGAACTGATAGAGATATTAAAATAAGAATACAAAAGGCAAGAGGGGCTTTCATAGCACTAGGGAATTTGTGGAGGTCAAAAGAAATTAAAAGAAATACTAAACTAAAAATTTTTAATTCTTATGTCAAATCAGTACTATTGTATGGGGCGGAAACATGGAGAACAACCAAGGCAATTACTAATAAATTACAGACATTCATTAACTGGTGCCTGCGCAGAATAGAGGGAATAAAATGGTATGAAAGAATAACTAATGTAGAACTTTGGGAGAGAACTAAACAGGCTCCAGTGGATCAGGAAGTGAGGAAAAGACGCTGGCGTTGGATAGGGCACACACTGAGAAAACAGGAGAACAGCATAACTAGAATGTCTTTGCATTGGAACCCACAGGGGCATAGGAATAAAGGAAGGCCAAAAAACACGTGGAGAAGAGAGCTGTAGAACGAGGTTAGAAAGATTGGGAGGACATGGGGAGAGCTCCATGCAATGGCGAAGGATAGAACGACTTGGCGTGAGTTGGTTGAGGGCCTATGCTCCATTGGGGGATAGAAAGGCAGAAGAAGAAGAATTATTACATTTAAGTTGTAATTATATTGTCACATCTAAAAACAACTACTATAACATTTTAGTTGTAATTGTCACATCTAAAGGCATGTGTTATCACATTTATGTTGTAATTATATTGTCACATCTAAAAGCAACTATTGTTACATTTTAGTTGTAATTGTCACATCTAAAGGCAAGTGTTATTACATTTCAGTTGTAATTATATTGTCACATCTAAAAGCAAGTACTATTACATTTTAGTTGTAATTGTCACATCTCAAGGCAAGTGTTATTACATTTTAGTTGTAATTATATTGTCACATCTAAAAGCAGATGTTATTAAATTAGTTGTTTTTACTGTAAAATGTTGAAATTTTCAGCCCACATCAATGAGGGCCATTAGAGCACGTTACAATCCATACCTACAGACAAGACACAGAGTAGAACAGGTAAGAAGTGTGTTTGTTCAGTCATGCAAATCTAAGGATATATGTCAGTTGTATATGTTGTTCCTTCTTTTGGGAGTCAGAACAGTGTTCTCATATGGACAGGATCTTCTTCTTCGCATTCTCCGGGCTGAATATTCTGGTGTTTGTCCCATTCTGGACCTTAGTCTTGTTACAGAACTTGAGTGTTGTTATGTGCACAACTGTTTTCAGATTTGGCATATTTGTATTCAGACTGTTCTTCTTCTTCATGTTTACCAGCTGTAGACTCTGGCAGCAAGTTCTAGTTGTTTGGCCACTTCTGGACTTTAGTCTTGTTCCAATACTTGAGTTTTGCATGCACATCCATGTTTTTTTTTGGGACCCGTCTGGCTAATTTGTGTGCTGACTGTTGGTTTCTCCTTTGTCAGGTAGATGCACGCCAACTTCAAAGGGCGCTAATTATTCTACTCTTAAGACTTGCTTGTTGGGGTCTATTCCCCCCCCCCCCCCCACTTCATTTGAATGCTTACAACCAAAGAATAATTAAGAGAGAGAAAGTGAGAGATAGGAATAAAATTAAAGTTGAGTAAAGTAAGGTTTGAGTCTGTTTTGTTTTAAGGCAGTAAATCTTGGAATGTGGGCAAACAAATTAAGAAGAGTTTGGAGGCAGCTGAGATGTGGTTCTTGGGAAGAATTTTGCGAAAACCTTGGACAAAGAATAACTAACAATGGTTGCCTGAAAATGGCTAATGAAAGTAGAACATTATATACAACAATGAGAAGGAGACAAAGTTCTTTGGTCATGTGATGAGAAAAGGAACACTGGAAACTATCGTGACGACTGAAAAGATCACTGGTAGAAGAGGCAGAGGCAGACCAAGAGAAATGATGGTGGATGGCTTAAGACAGTAGCATGGAGGTAAATCATCAGTGGAATTGATCCAGAACACTAGAGACCGAGATCTGTGGAGATGCAGGAAAGCCTACATGAATGCTGGCAAGGCACTTGATGATGATAGTAATGTTGTGAAAGATTGGCTGGTGTGTGTATATGACATGTTGTTTGTGTTGTGTATTCAGCTGCAGCAGCTTGGCTGGTGTGTAAATGACATGTTGTGTGTGTTGTGTATTCAGCTGCAGCAGATTGGCTGATGTGTATATGACATGTTGTTTGTGTTGTGTATTCAGCTGCAGCAGATTGGCTGGTGTGTGTATATGACATGTTGCTTGTGTTGTGTATTCAGCTGCAGCAGATTGGCTGGTGTGTGTATATGACATGTTGCTTGTGTTGTGTATTCAGCTGCAGCAGATTGGCTGGTGTGTGTATATGACATGTTGTTTGTGTTGTGTATTCAGCTGCAGCAGATTGGCTGGTGTGTGTATATGACATGTTGTTTGTGTTGTGTATTCAGCTGCAGCAGATTGGCTGGTGTGTGTATATGACATGTTGTTTGTGTTGTGTATTCAGCTGCAGCAGCTGGGTCACAGTGTTGATAAAGTGGAGTTCATTGTTATGGGTGGCACCTTCATGAGTCTTCCTGAGGACTACAGGGATGACTTTATCAGGTGAGCTTATTTTCTATCAGTGTGTTAATCGGCTTTTGATTTTGTTTGTAATGTTTTAGAACTGCATATCTTCTTCTTTTTAGCATTCAGCGGTTGTTAACTCTGGAGGAAAGTTTATGTTGTTTGTCCACTTCTGGTCTTTGGTCCTTTTCTGGAACTTGAGTTTTGTGTGCTCCATTTCACAGATCTGGCTTATTTGTATGCAGACTGTTGGTTCCTTTATCTGATTAGTCACCTTATATGACATGCTTGTTAGTGGGCAGTGGGTCTATTATTTGTTCTCCCCAAGTATATTATCATGAACTGTGTAAAACAGTATATTATCATGAACTGTGTAAAACAGGTATTCTTCTTCTTCTTCTTGGCGCTCACTGGCTGTAAACTCCTGCGGAAAGTTCTGGTTGTTCATCCACTTCTGGACTCTAGTCCAGTTTCAGAAACTGAGTGCATGTACATCCGTTTCACAGGTCTGACTCATTTGCATGCAGACTGCTGGCTCCTTGCCTTTCAGGCAGATGTACTCCGACTTTAAAGGAAGCTCCCAGTTAGTCAACTCTTATGACATGCTTGTTGGTGTAGCAGTGGGTCTATTGTTTTCCCCACAATACGGAAAACAGGTATTATTATGAACCATTTAAATCAGTATGCACTTTCAAATATATATTAGAACCTTGATTATCTAGTTTACAAACTCCACAATATCCTGCAGTTGAATGGGCATTATACATTTTATCTTAAAATTTGAACAGTATTTTAATTGTGGACTTCCCTTGGCCATAACAACAGCTGTTGTTTCACCCGGCCTACCATTCAGCCACAGTAGGGCAGATATTGCAGAGTAGTAGGAAATGACTACATGAAAGTAACTCTTAATTCTGTGTTCTGCTGCAGGAATCTCCATGATGCACTAAGTGGACACAGTAGTTCTAATGTTCAAGAAGCTGTCAAGTAAGTTTTCCCTAGCTCTACCTTTTGTGTGTGTTAGATTTGGTAAATATGACATGTTGTCTTCACTTGCCCTAGCAGTCTAAATGGTTGCTAAAGGCTGAGGACATCGTCTCTAGCCATGTGGGTGTGGAAAGCAAGGGGAAGCCATTATATTATTATCTAAAGAAGCTTACCTCGGAAGCCAACAATTTCAAGATGATATTCCCTGTAGCATCATATGAATCTGAGTCATTGACTGTCTTGCAGTCTTTAGAGAAGAAATTTGGAGCTTTTGTGTTATAGAAAGATTCTCAGAATAACATGGACAAAAAAAAAAAAGAAATGACATCCTAAAATATCTGACACATCAAAGAAGATTGGCTAGTAAAGGTCATCTTATCTCGAAAACTGAAATATTTTGGCCATATCAAGCGCCCCAGCAGATTAGAAACAATAACAGAAGGCGTGTGATATCTCAATTGAAGGGAAAAGACTTAACCAAGTCAACAAATTTAAATATCTGGGAACAGTCATCAGATGGAAAATGTGTGACAGAGATTAAAAGCAGAGATAGGTCAAGCGAAAGCTGCATTTCAGAAAATGAAAAATATCTTATGCAGTAAATCGCTCTAATTTAATGTCAGAAAAAGGGTGCTAAAATGTTACAAAGAACCTGTTTTGCTGTATGGCAGTGAATCTTGGAATGTCACTGAACAAATTAAGAGGAATTTGGAAGCAACAGAGATGTGGTTTCTGAGACAAATGTTGCGAATACATTGGATGGCCAGAGTAACTAACAATGATTGCTTGAAAGAAGCTAATGAAAGTAGATCTCTATATACAACAATAAGAAAGAGACAACACTGTTATATGGCCACATAATGAGAAGAGAGACATTGGAAAACATCGTGACAACTGGAAAATTCAGTGGAAAAGGGGGTAGAGGCAGACCAAAAGAGATGATGCTGGATGGGCTAAAACGATGGCATGGAGGGATATCATCAAGAGAGCTGTTTCAGTCAACCTGGGATTGTGATCTGTGGAGACGCATGAGCGCCTATGCCAGTTGGCAGGGCACATGATGATGATGATAGTACCAAGAAAGAGATCAGGGTTGTCAAGTTGTCAGTTTTCTGCTCTTGATTCTTATACTTCAGCTCTGAAATATTTTCCCTGTGTGGGTTCCAGGACCATATTTGGGGGTGGTGGGAGGGGGGGGGGGGGCTAACAGGCATGTCGCTAAGGGTGACTGATTAGGAATTAGCTGAAATCAAATTTTTGGGCTGAAAAATATTGCAGCCTAGCTGTAAAACACAACATAGCATGTCAGTTGTCATTTTAAGAGTAAACACAGAAGAAGAAATATGCTTAGAGTTTTGATTTCTTTGTTTTTTCTTTTTGCAGATTCTCTGAGAAAAGCACAGTGAAATGTATTGGTATAACAATAGAAACCAGGCCAGATTACTGTCTGAAGAAACACTTAAGGTATGTTTGTTTGTTGTTTCACCTGTTTCATGTTCTTCCTACTCTGCCACATATCTTATTTTGTATTTCATCTCCCAAATAAGCACAGACCCTCAACCAACACATGCCAAGCTTTTTGTAGATATAATAATTGGTTCTGTTCTGCAGCCTAAGTTTTCTATAGGATAAGATAGTTTCATACCAACCCTCCTAAGATAGGTTACTGTTCTTTCCTTACCATATGAATCCTGCTGAGACACAGGTATCTATCGTCAGCTTATTATCAGGCTGTCATCGTTAGACAGGTGCAGCTGCATCACAGACCGCTCACCTCATGACTGCTCTGTTCCACTGCTAGTGAACAACCACACAAAATGTCCAATACTGCCGCATGGGCCCTTTTTGCCCCCCCCCCCCCCCCCCGCCCCACCTCCCGCCACCCCCCCCCCCCCACACACACACACACACACAAAACATTCACAACAGCACATTGTTATTTGAGGTTGCACTCCATAAGTACAGTCACCATTTTGTTTCTGTGTTACGAATGTGCATGAGACACATAGCGCCACCTAACAAATGGAGACATAAAGTTTGATGTTGCTTTCACCTAATGACACCTTTAGAAGCCACCAGCTACACTTTCCTGCCATCCCATAACCACTTGTGCCTTAACTTATTGATTTCCCCTCTTATACACACACACACACATAGATGTAATATAAAATATAATCATAAAATATTTATATATATATTTTTTTTTAAGTATCCAGAAACCATGAGTTGTAAACCCTTTGGCTTGGAACTATGGATATTGCAACCCTTCCACCTTGATTCCATTAAAGGTACCATTAATCTGGGAGAAATGTGGCTTTTCTGCCTACCCCTGGGAGTGAACCCGGACCACAAAGAGTTCGTCACCCGGCCGCCGCGAAAGTCAAATTTAACCAACTACGCTAGAGAGCCGGTCTCATAAAATATATAAAATGACCAGCAGTTACTGATGTGAGTTGTGGTAAAAGTGTCCAAGTCATTTTTACTGGCATGGAAGACAGTGGCATGGAGGAATATCATCAGTGGAATTGATCCAACACACCACAGACCCAGATCTGTGGAGATGCATGAACGCCTGCACCAGCTGGCAAGGCACTTGATGGTGATGATGATGACTTGCTATCACTGTTACGTGTTACTGACCATTCACTTGTGGCTTCTCATGCTGACTGTTTGTCATGTTTGTATTATTGTGTGTGGTTTCTGAGCTTTGTTGTCTGATACATCAGCGACTGATTGTTCTCTTCTGCAGTGACATGCTCAAGTACGGGTGTACCAGACTGGAGATTGGTGTCCAGAGTGTGTACGAAGATGTAGCCAGGGATACAAACAGGTTTGTTCTATATTTCTTGGATCTTTCTGAAAACACTAGACTCCAAACATTGCACTGCAATTCTTCTTCTGCATTTTCCCCCAGAAAAACAATTGGCACATTGTGTTGTGGTTTGCAGCTAGACTGGGATATTTGTGGGCTTTGACCATCACATCTGCTTTCAGCAGACTTGTTTGTTAGGGAGCAGTGGGGTGATTCTTTTCTCCCCTCTAAAAATGGGGAAAAATACTGATTCAATCAACATGTTAGATTTGTTTGTGCTTATTGTATCCTCAGACTATTTGTACTCAGCATTTACCCTTAAAAGGGTGGTCGGGACTTTGTGTTGTGGTGTTCAGCTAAGCTTCAGTATCTGTACCTTTCAGCACAACCCATTTGATTTGAGCAAACTGGTAATTACCTTTTAGGATATGCTTGTCTGGAGAGAGGGGTCTGTTTTATTTTCTGACAGAATGGGGCCCTAGAAGCCACACGGGGATGTTTGAGTTAAAATCTGTGTCGGGTGTGATATTTAAGAAAAAAATTAAATACTGACCTTGCCCAGAATAGATACCAGCCAAAGATCTGGTCAAGTAACAGCCGTCAACAGGATGTTGACCACTTCAGCCACCGAGTGCCCATTGGTCTGCCAAAATATGAGTCTTGCTTCATGTGCCCATTTGTCTGCCAATATATGAGTCTTGCTTCATGTGCCCATTGGTCTGCCAAAATGTGAGTCTTGTTTCATGTGCCCATTGCTTGAAACAACTGATCAGTACAAATCAGTGTTTTTATTCATCAAGGCATAACATCATCTTGTTCACAATTTTCCTGACATGAAAACTGGTTTTATCAGTGCAGATTCAATGTGTGCTTATATGTGTGCATTGTTTTTGTACTACAGGGGGCATACTGTCAGAGCTGTATGTGAGTCATTTCAGATGTCCAAAGATGCCGGTTTTAAAGTGGTTTCACACATGATGCCAGATCTGCCCAATGTTGGATGGGAGAGGGATATTGAGCAGTTCATAGTATGTTTTCTCTTTATATGAGTTGATGGTTTATTCTTTATAAACAGATAGTTCAGTGTTTTCCATTGCATTAACTGTCATGTCTTATGTAGTTATTCAGTCTGCAGATGTTTACTTGTAAAAAAAAAAAATTGTGTTGGTTAAACTCATTTTGGGAAGTTACTCTGTCTCCTTCCCTACATCTCTATCCTTATCATTTTTTGCCTCCTCCTTTCTGTTTTCCCTTTTTCCTCTGCCCTTCATCTGCCTGTCCTTTCTCTATTCATCTCCCTCTCTGTCTCTCCCACTCTCCCTCATCATATGTCCTATCCCACCCTCTCTGTCTCTCTGACTCTCCCTCATCATATGTCCTATCCCACCCTCTCTGTCTCTCTGACTCTCCCTCATCATATGTCTCTATTCCTCCCTCTCTGTCTAGAAAAGATGTACAAACACTTTACCTCTTCGCATACATCCACACATGTCTGTGCGGATAAAGTACCGAATTTGCCTAGTACCTCCTAGAACAGATCAAAAATACCTTGAAAAACCCATGAAAAAAGTTGCTGAATTTGGCTACGAACCCTGTTTAAAAGAAATCCCTAGTTAGTGAACTCTTATGACAGGCTTGTTGGTGTTTACAATGGAATCGTAATAGACAGTCAACATTGCAAGGCATTGTTAATATTTGTATTATCTTGAAATATATGTATATATTATATATATATTTCATTTTTCTATCTGACAACAGGAGTTTTTTGAAAACCCAGCATTCCGAGCTGACGGGCTGAAAATCTACCCAACTCTGGTGATCAGAGGAACAGGTACATTCTGTTTTGTTACATCGTACAGGTGAAGAAGTTTTGTTACATAAGTCGTGTTATAAATTGAAGATATACAGCTGTATCTGAGTTGAATATCATCAAGGTTGAGACTGCGCTTTGGTATTTTCTTGAATTGCTGAAGGAAATAAAATAAAAGAGACAAGTTAAATATTTCAGCCACATTTTAAGATGTAACACTTATAAAAATCAGAAAAAGTTAAAGATAAGCAAACAAGACTTGGATGATGGTACAGTTGGGAGAATAACATACAGAGATAAGACTAACAGCTGAAAGAGTGAATAGCTAATACAAAAAATGGATCATTCTAGAGATTCATGGCATCCAACCTTTATTGTGGAGATGGCACCTGATTGATTTTCTCGATTTATTCTTTACAAGTGTTGATTTTATGTTTGTTATATCTGAGGTTTGTACAACTGTATACATTGATGGTGAAGAGCTTGAGACAGTTGACCATTTTACCTATCTGGGTTCCACAGTGAATTGTAAATTATCGCTGGACCAAAAAATCAACATCAGGATAGGTAAGGCAGCAACAACGATGAGCAGACTGACAAAGAGAGTTTGAGAGAACAGAAAGCTCACAATTAAAACAAAAAAATCCTTGTCTATTGGTTCTCAGCAGTCTGCTTTATGGCAGTGAAACTTGGTCAACCTATTTGCACCAGGAGAGTTGGCTTAATAGCTTTCACATCCGATGCCTAAGAAGAATGTAAAAAAGTAAAGTAAAGATCCCTTTTCACGCCTTTCGGCGCATCGGGCATATGGGCAGAGCGTCCCATATTTTTACAGACCATCAGCACTCTGTGGATAATGTGGTCATCATTACGCCGGCTGTCTTTACTTTCCCAGGACAGCCCATCCTGGTACCCATTTTAGGTTGGGTCGACCTGCGACGTCCCATACCACGACAAAAATCCACGCAGCCTGCAGTGGGTTTTGATCGCGGTATGCTGGCTCACGAGTCGGACTCGCAACGCCTTAGCCATGGAGCCTAAGAAGAATACTTAGCATTAATTGGCAGGACAAAATCACAAACACTGAGGTACTGAAAAGATCAGGTACTACAACAGTCTTTTCCATTGTCAGTCTACAAAGGCTCAGGTGGCTGTCGCACCTGGAGAAGGGAGGATGGCAGAGTCCCTGAGGACATCCTTTATGGTAAATTAAAGACAGGGAAAATATGTCGAGGCCGACCTCTTCTACGGTATAAAGATGTGTGCAAGCGGAGCATGAATGATATAGGTATTGAGGTGGACTCCTGGGAACAAAATGTCATGGACCGTGTTGTATGGAAAGGGCTTATCAGGAAGGGAATGAGAGTGAAGGAAGAAATGACTGCAGAAAGGATGAAAGCTGAGCATCTGAAAAGAAACGGATTAAACACAGATGTTGACAACAATGATCCTGAAATCCCATGCTATCATTGTGAAAGACTTTTCTTGACACGAGCGGGTCTTGCTAGTCACACTCGCCATCGCCATGGGCTGTGAGTCTCATGCCTCCTCATAGCGCAATATAACGCTATCGTCTGGAAAGACTGAAAGGTGCCAATCAACAACTGTATAAAGTAGAATAGCTGGGTGCTTCATCTTGTGAAATCATGATAGGTCAGACAGAACAGCAGGGTGCTGCAGCTTGTGAAATCATGATAGGTCAGACAGAATAGCTGGGTGCTTCATCTTGTGAAATCATGATAGGTCAGACAGAACAGCAGGGTGCTGCAGCTTGTGAAATCATGATAGGTCAGACAGAATAGCTGGGTGCTTCATCTTGTGAAATCATGATAGGTCAGACAGAACAGCAGGGTGCTGCAGCTTGTGAAATCATGATAGGTCAGACAGAATAGCTGGGTGCTTCATCTTGTGAAATCATGATAGGTCAGACAGAACAGCAGGGTGCTGCAGCTTGTGAAATCATGATAGGTCAGACAGAATAGCTGGGTGCTGCATCTTGTGATGCATCTGCTCTAGACCTGGTGGCAGAGGGGAGCAAACTCATCCCAAGATGGAAATAGCCGCTGCTTCTAGAGCTTTAGCATGGGTATCCGAACAAACCGCCACACAGGTAGTAATTGTCTCAGACTCAAGGAATATGCTTCAGAAGATAGCAACAGGCAGTATGCGCTCTGAATGGATAGAAAGCATTCGGAAATCGCACGTAACCTCCGTAACCTGGATCTACACACCGGGTCATGCGGGCGTGAAGGGAAATGAGCGAGCAGACCAACTGGCAAGCACTGCACTAATGATTGCGGGAAAAAGTATGGACAGAGCAGATATAGTCAACGCTGTACGAACTGGGCTAGTGGAGAATGAGGAATCCCTGACACTAACATGATTGCCTGACATGGGAGTTAAGCATGGTGATGTACGTCTTTGCCGTTTCGAGGCCGAGAAAGGAGACAATATAACCAGCTTCTTATGGGGACAATTAGTAGAAGTACTTTGGAGTGGCTGCTGCTTCGGAGAACTGAGCATGCATGGGTATGCCCAATGTGCAGTGACATCAGTTGTGATAACAAAACATAAAATAACATCTTAGTAGGGAGTCGGCAGTCCGAAACCCAAGTTCAAGGTGTCTCCTTCGTGCCAAAGAACTGCATGGCTGTTGGGTAAACAGTCGTTAACAATGGCAGGCAGGTCGTTGTAGGGGCAACGCCTGCTGGTGGATGTAATGTCCTAAGTCCCTTCCCCAGCTAATAATGAGGGTACTGCTGGGGTGACCGTTTATTAACCCTCATATAATGCTTCCGGTCAAAATGGACGCTAGGCACGGCCACCTTTTTTTTGGCAAGTTTTTTTCTTTCTCTCTGTCAGACAGTGGCCGTTGCATTTTTTCTCCATTTGTAGACTGGAAGGATGTAGTTTCGTCGCCCAGCTTCTGAGTTGAGTGCATGGTGTGACACTGTGAGCTGCATTTGTTTTTCGTTGGCACAGGAGCGGAGTAACTGTGGGGTGATCTGTTCGCTATGAAGCTGAAACTAGGATTACCAGATTACCAGATCTTGTGAAATCATGATAGGTCAAACAGAATACCTGGGTGCTGCAGCTTGTGAAATCTTGATAGGTCAGACAGAATACCTGGGTGCTGCAGCTTGTGAAATCTTGATAGGTCAGACAGAATACCTGGGTGCTGCAGCTTGTGAAATCTTGAAAGGTCAGACAGAATACTTGGGTGCTGCATCTTGTGAAATCTTGATAGGTCAGACAGAATAGCTGGGTGCTGCATCTTGTGAAATCTTGATAGGTCAGACAGAATAGCTGGGTGCTGCAGCTTGTGAAATCTTGATAGGTCAGACAGAATAGCTGGGTGCTGCAGCTTGTGAAATCTTGATAGGTCAGACAGAATAGCTGGGTGCTGCATCTTGTGAAATCTTGATAGGTCAGACAGAATAGCTGGGTGCTGCATCTTGTGAAATCATGATAGGTCAGACAATAGCTGGGTGCTGCAACGTGTGAAATCATGATAGGTCAGTCCATGTACATTACATCTTCTGTCTGCCAGGCCTGTATGAGCTGTGGAAATCTGGGCGCTACAAGAGTTATCCTCCCAGTCAGTTGATTGAACTCATAGCTCGCATTCTAGCCCTTGTTCCTCCATGGACCAGAGTATACAGGGTTCAGAGGTCAGTTTTTTCTTGTAATAAATGTGTACATTTAGTGAAGGTCAAGTAACTCATTCATATTGTTTTTATTAGCAGCTTGTCTCAGGCCTCCCTCCTACCATCACAACTGTTTTGTTATCATTAGCAGCTTGTCTCAGGCCTCCCTCCTACCATCACAACTGTATTGTTATCCTTAGCAGCTTGTCTCAGGCCTCCCTCCTACCATCACAACTGAATTGTTATCCTTAGCAGCTTGTCTCAGGCCTCCCTTCTACCATCATAACTGTTTTGTTATCATTAGCAGCTTGTCTCAGGCCTCCCTCCTACCATCAGAACTGTTTTGTTATCATTAGCAGCTTGTCTCAGGCCTCCCTCCTACCATCACAACTGTATTGTTATCCTTAGCAGCTTGTCTCAGGCCTCCCTCCTACCATCACAACTCTATTGTTCCCAATCACCACCACTTTGATGCCATACAATGTATACTGAGACATTTTTTGGAGGGGAAAGGAAATAATGGAAGGAAGAGATCTGATCTTTTTTCTTCTTTTTCTCCAGACCTATTCTGTCTTTCAGCATCAGATTGTGAAAAGGCACCAGGTGCAAGCCTTGGTGATGTGTGCTGCCTAGATGCTGGTATTTACAGCCTCTGATATTCCATCTATCTATCGCTCTGCTTCCATTATGTCTAAACGACAGAGGTCACTGTGGTGCACTATCTGGTGGTAGTCTCCACACCTGCCCAAGTCATTTGAATTTTGAGATCTGCCAATCTTACTTTATGCTGTGACCCAGTTCATGTGAAGGAGTAATACTTCACACTTCTGTAGCAGTATAGCCCACATTATTTTTTTAAACTTGTACAAAGGTTGTAAACCTTTTATTGTTTGAATTTTTATCTGCCTGCTTGTCAGTTCATTAAGAAGGCCAGCATTGACAAAAGATTGCACTTCAGCCATGCTGTCCCAAGTACAGTAGAACCTCCAAAGTTGATCACCTCCCTGTGTTGACCACCTCCCTGTGTTGACCACTGCTAGAAGATGACCTCATTTTCATTGATACAATCGTCACCAGATATTCTGAGTGGAAGACTACCTCTAAATGTTAACCACCTATGTAAGTTGTATGTTGATTGCTTGGAATCATCGTCCTGTAGCAGACCCTTTGCAAAACATCACTCACATCACAGTCTGCCTAAAAGAAACTCAGTCTCTCATCAGCTATCCTGTCAGCTCTCCTGCACTTTCATATCCAAATAGTCACTTCTGTCCTGTGCCCATCTTCGTGTTGGTCGGCCCCTTTCCCTTTATCCTGAAGTTACAAAGTACAGTTGTCCACACTTCCCCCCCCTCCGCCCCCAAACATTACCTAGAGGAGAGAAGGTTCAGGCCTTGTTTAGCTGTACAATAATAAAAAGAGGTTCTGCTATAATTCTACTGTGATCTTCTACAGGGACATTCCTATGCCACTGGTGTCTAGTGGAGTTGAGCATGGTAACTTGCGTGAACTGGCTCTGGCAAGAATGAATGACCTTGGCACCCAGTGCAGAGATGTTAGGACCAGAGAGGTTGGCATTCAGGAGATCCACCATAAAGTCAAGCCTGATCAGGTTAGCTTTCATTTGCTCACTGTCCCCATGGAAGTGGAGGGAGGAGGAATAGACCCACTGTCCCCATGTGGGTTCTGGACCCCGTAGGTGGGGGAGTGATGGACCCACTGGCCCCAAGTGGGTTCTGGGCCCCAAAGAGGTGTGATAGACCCACTGTCCCCATGGATGTGTGATAGACCCACTGGCCCCATGTGGGTTCTTTGCCCCATGGAAGTGTGATAGACCCACTGTTCCCTATGTTTAAATTCTGGGTCCCATGAAGGGAATAGACCCACTGTCGCCATGTAGATTCTGGATCCCATGGTTTAATAGGCCCACTGTCTCTTCTGGGCCCCATTGGGAGGGGAAATAGTCCCACTATCCATTAACCAGTATGTTGTAATAGGTGACTAATGAACAGTTTGCTGAAATCAGATGTGCAGGCCCAGTGAGCACAGATATTGCAGTCCACTTCTAGTTAGTCTTTGAATGTTTTTATAGTTAAGAGGTTTGTGTATGATCCTTATATGTTGTTTTTTACAATGGGGAGGGTTATCTCTGTAAGGTCCTTGTGTGGTTTTACAGGTATGAAGTATTTGTATGGACCTTTGTTTCCCCGTCAACATCATGACCACCTGTCATGTCTACAGGATCCTAACTGTACTTTTCTTCAGCTTTACAACCACATGTGTCATGTCTTTCACATCATGACCACATGTCATGTCTGCAGGATCCTAACTGTACTTTTCTTCAACTTCACAACCACATGTGTCATGTCTTTCACATCATGACACGTCACTTTCCATGTTTCCAGTGTCATGACCACATCATTTCAATGCCTTCAATAACACAATCAGATGTCATTATATTCAACAACACAAGCACATGTATTTTCAACAACACAACCATGTGTCATAATTTAAACAACACAACCACTTGTCATATATTTCACATCACACATGTATATTCAACAAAACAATCACGTGTCATGTATTCCACTTCACACATCATTATATTCAACAACCAAATGTCATATTTTCAACAACACAATCACTTGTCATGTATTCCACTTCACACATCATTATATTCAACAACACAACATGTCATATTTTCAACAACACAATCACTTGTCATGTATTCCACATCACACATCATATATTCAGCAACACAACCACATGTACAATTTTCAACAACATAATCACACGTCATATATTCCACACTACATCATATATTCAACACCCCAACCACATGTGATACACTGAACACCACAACGACATGTCATGTATTCAACGCCACAACTATGTCCTATTTTTTGACACCAAAACCATGTCATATATACAGCAGCCCTTACAAGTCAGATGTATTGAACTTGGCCACACTGGCATATATTCAACACCACAAGCACCTTATAAGGTGCCCCATGTAGCTGCTTATACGGGAGGTTATTGATTTGCCAGTCATCTCTGGGTGTTGTTTGTGCCTGCCAGATTTTACAACTAGGGACACATGTCTACCTAAAGCAGTGGGTTAATTTTTGTGTAGGTAAAGCTGGGTAGACTAGATATTGATTTTCACGCTAATGTCAGAAGTTTTTTTTTTACTGTCATCATCAAGTTGTTGATGATAGAATGCATATAGTTAACGAAGTGCTCACAAAATAGCAAGTTTATTTTAACAAATCCATTTGAGTGAAAAACCAATATTAATTATCTCTCAAGTTTGTTTTTTCAAATACCAGATCAGCAGTTAGGTTAATGAATGAGTAATACATAATTGGATACAAAAAGTTGGCAAAGGCCTAGGCAGGAAGCTTGTTTTAACTAGTGGCATGCCATTTCTTCAATTTCACGGACACATGCTGTGTTTTCAGTATTACAGGTACATACCATATCTTCAACATCAAAGATGCTTTGTGAACTTTGTCAAAGATATTCTTTATAGAGAAGAGGCCAAAAAGAGGTCTGCAAATGCAATATAATGATGTCTGTAAAATGGATTTGAAAAACCCTTGGCATAGATACAGAAACATGGGAGAGAGTTGCAGCAGATAGGTTTTTCTGGAGAAAAAGTGTGTCAGACGAACAAGTGCTCTTTAAGAGCAATCTGAGCCAACTAGCTGAGGACAAGAGGCACAAGTGTCGATGCCATTGCTTGCTGCAGGACCTGCCTCATCTTCCAGATGCAGAAATTGTGGCAGAGGTTGTCACTCACATATCACATTGTTAAGATACCAGCAGCATTTTCATGTGCCTGCCCATTGTCACAGCTCTGTAGTCATGCAGGACTGAAAGGGCCTATGATATCACAGACACACATGCCACATCTTCAGCATCGCAGCAACATGTTGTGATACTAGCACAGACACATATCATGTTTTCACTATCATAACAACATGTTAGTCTTGAATATCACATCAACATGTCAGAAATCAGTTCATTCAGGTAGGTGTTGACAACCACTGAAGTGTGAAGTGTACACACCTTCACATTGTATATAATATGTTCAGAAAAAAGTGTGCTCACAAACACCCCAAGATTCAGAGGTGAAGGATCCTATGGAAGATGCTGCTGTATACTTCTAATAAAACATTATAGACCCTTCCCTCGAAGTCGGAGTACATCTGCTCGCGAGGCAGGGAACAGCAAAACGGTTGTACACGCAAAACTCAGGTCCAGGTAAAAGCCAAAAGTCCAAGCGGACGATTAACCGGGACCTTCCGCCGGAATTCACAGCCGGTGAACGAAGAAGAAGAAGATTATAGACCCATAATTCTGTAGACCAATTGAGGCTTGATGGATGGTGTGGTCAGCATCACTCTGGGGGCTTTATACTTCCTAGAGCCTTGTCCTGATAGCTTTCTTTGGCAAGATTGTTGTGGGAGCCAAGATCAGTTTATAAAAAAAAAAAAGAAGAAGAAGAAAAAAACTGCCTGAATATGATTTTAAACTTTCAGCCTGTCAGACAAATTAGCCAGCAGCTACCTATAAAACAGTGGACCGTCACATATCTGAGACCATTGTCATGAGAACTGTCACAGCAGCTACCTCTAAAATATTGGATTGTCACATGTCTGAGACCACTATCACAGCAGCTACCTCTAAAACATTTGATCGTCACATGTCTAATACACTGTCATGAGAACTGTCACAGCAGCTACCTCTAAAACATTTGATCGTCACATGTCTAATACACTGTCATGAGAACTATCACAGCAGCTACCTCTGAAATATTGGATTGTCACATGTCTGAGACCACTATCACAGCAGCTACCTCTGAAATATTGGATTGTCACATGTCTGAGACCACTATCACAGCAGCTACCTCTAAAACATTTGATCGTCACATGTCTAATACACTGTCATGAGAACTGTCACAGCAGCTACCTCTAAAACATTTGATCGTCACATGTCTAATACACTGTCATGAGAACTGTCACAGCAGCTACCTCTAAAACATTGGAAATTTTGGGGATGGGGAAATAAACCCACTTACCCCTCCCCCACCCCCACAAGCATTTTCTAAAAGGTGACTAATGTGGGGCTGTATCCTTCTGGGACGGAGAGTATCTGCCTGATAGAGCAGGAACCTGCCGTCTGCATACAAGCAAGCCAGATATGCAAAATAGATCTTGAGTTTTGGAAGATGGTCAAAGTCCATAAGTGGACGAACAGCCAGAACTTTCCCCCAGGTTTTCCAGCCGGTGAATGCCAAGAAGAAGGGTCCACAGAAATCAGTATCTGGGAAGCCCTTAAGGCCACTGATACAGCATGACAAATTAATTGATATGCATTGATTGGCACTCATAAATGTATAGGAAAGAAGTAACTGTGGGACACAAAAAATAGAAAATTGAAAGCTACAGTTGCCATTCTGGGAATCGAACCTGCTGTCATAATATTTGTGCCTTGCTTCAGAAACGTGCACTTTGGCCCTTGACCTACTAGACTTTAAAATAGGACTGATGTTTTAGCATCAATACTGAAAGCTGCATTGGGTCTTACAAGTCAAGAGGTGGCCATCTTTGAGCGGTGTCTTTTAGAATTCTTTTGAGCTATGGCTTATGGCAGTGTTTATTGTGTGTTGAAACCAATAATTTTATGAAATTATGTTAAACTATTATATTATTGATAATTCAGGTGGAACTTATACGCAGAGATTATGTGGCCAACGGCGGGTGGGAAACTTTCCTATCTTATGAAGACCCAGAACAAGATATCCTCGTAGGGCTCCTGCGGCTGCGCAAATGCTCGCCTGATACATTTAGGCCAGAACTGAAGGGAGGTTGTTCCATCGTCAGAGAGCTGCATGTTTATGGAAGTGTTGTGCCTATACATACACGAGACCCTCGCAAATTTCAGCATCAGGTAATTTGCTTCTCTTTTCTTATTTATTTGTCAACAAGTTTATTTGACATTTGGCCTATTCTTGATGCAGTCGTAACAGTAAATCATCATTTCATAATGTACTCAGCGAGAGTCACTACATCACTTGGGACAGCTTTGGCCTGCAGATATGTGTACATATGAAGATGGTTTGTGGTCTTGATGGACACTTAAGTACAGCAATATATAATTAGAAAACTGGTTTTCTTCTTTAGACTTTTCTTAAATTACATCAGGTTTAAAGAAGAAAAATGTAGTTTTTTTGGTGATTGCACCATTTGGTAGTTTTCTTGACCAAGTCAGCTTTTTCTTTTTTAAGTTTGAAACAGCACTAAGGGTCTTCTTTATAACTGACCTCTGCTGCTATGTTGAACACGCCTAACATGGGTACTAGGAAATGACCTGGGAGGTAAAGACAGCTGATGTGATATTGACCACATTAGCCACTGAGTTCAGATTTTGTCTCCAGTAATATGAGTCTGGCACCATTTTCCACCCTTGGGGTGGAGTGCTTTTTTGTTTTAAACTAGAGTTCTAAATAATGTTTGAGTTTAGAATCAATTCAGTGGACAGTATATCCTTCTGAACTTTCTGTACAGAAGGCAATCCAGCAGGGGATGTTAGCAGTTTGTTTGCTTAGTTCACATCTACGTAGTAGACAAATCTGGTACATATATGTGAGTCTGTTATGTCCTGTCCCATAACTGTTATCAGGTGAAGAAGGATCATCTTTCTCTGCTGATCAGGAGCATAGGGCTGATTTTTGTTTTCTTCTTACAGCCTGAGAACCATCTTTCTTTTAATGTGAGACTTCAGTAACTTGTGATTCATCTTGACCGCACATGTTGGGACAGTTTTTGCAATCACTTGGAGGGAGGGAGGGGGGCAGTTTTTTAATGGTATGGTTCACTTTCTAGCTGCAGACTTTCCCACTGCACTTCTCAAGATGTAGAAGCTGAACGCCTTCAAGAACCTTCAGTAGAGTCACTTGTGAATGACACGCTTGCTTCTCATGTGAATTGTTAATTATTGGCACTGAGATGAGCTCTGATTATTGGCATGTCTGTTTCCTCAGGGTTTTGGGATGCTTCTGATGGAGGAAGCCGAGAGAATAGCATTAGAGGAGCATGGATCCAGTAAAATTGCTGTTATATCAGGTGAGAGGCATTCCTATGATCTGTACATTGTCATTGATTACAACTGTTGCTGTTTGCGTTATCTGTCCTTTGCCTGAAGTGTTGCTAATGGCAAGTAATGACAGTAATATGAATTAGGGTTATGACTTGTTATGATATTTATCACATTGGACATTCCCATGTATGCTCAGTCCTCTGATGCAGCAGCTACCCCAAGGTACTTTTACTTAATTGAAAAAAAAAAACACATAAAAAGTTGGTTACAGTGTTTCCTATTGTTGTGTGCTAAATGAGTTACCACTAGCCAGCACACTACCAAGCGTCTAGCAGGTACCCTTCAGCTCCCTCTCTTAGAAACAGAACTCGACGACGATGACACCGTCATACAATTTATTCAACAGGATACATGACACAACTGCAGAGACGTAGTTATTGATCACAGTTGACATTCGCACATAATCCATTTGTCCTCATTCGCTCTCTCTCTCAATTTGTAGCGACCTCTCCTTGACCACTACAGCTCCAAGGACTACAGCTTCCCACACTCTGGACGCGCTGTACAGCTGAACAGGACGAATTCTCCCATTCACTGGACCTTGATATTATTTCAGCAGTCAACACGGCTGACTGGAGACGGACTTCCCTTGCCGTACTCCAAAAACACACAGCTGTCGTCAGCTTGTCGAAGGGCTCTGATGACCGACAGGACTTCTGCCATAAGTCCCCTCTAGCTCACCGCTCTCGTCGGCATCACCCCCCCCCCCCCCCCCTCATTCTGTTTCGCTGGTGGTCCTCCTACGTTTCACTACGTCGCCACCCAGAACAGGTACTACTGGAGCATTCCGTCCACTGGACTTACTTTGCCAGCGGGATCATACCTTCGACCAATACCGCAACCTCAACACTTACTCAGACCTTAATGCCTGATAGTCGTACGGTATTCTTGTCTGTTATACTCGAGAGAGATAATCACGGACCCTGACTTGGTCTCTGACTCTCTCTCTCTTTCTTCTCTTTTGACTCCCGACTCTGACTGCCTCTGACTGACCACTCAGCCCTCCAATTTATCCCCCTCAAATCCGTGTAGGTGGATGATGTTTACACGAGAGGCACGCTCATGTGGGCGTTCTCGAGGATCACGCTTATGTGGGTGGCTGATGTTACCTGAGAATCACGCTGTCACTTAATTCACACTTTCTCTGTTTATCTCGTTAGCCATGCTTTCAGCCCCTACACAGTAACCCCGAGTCCACTTTCTCGTGGCACTACATAATTACTCTCATACCACTGTCCCTTCACACATTATCACACTTTACCCAAATCAGCGCGCAACACCTATCTTGACCTCACAGATAGCACTGACATGCTTACCAGGCTTCAGAGGTCATGTAATCTTGTTAGCATCAGTTTCATTATTCTCTGCCAGTCTAGTCCATATAGCCAGCGCTATGGACTTTGTGTGCCAAGATCCCATGATTTTTGTGGTTTTGTAGGGCACCTTGAGGCTAGGGATTGAGTTATTTGAGAATCACTGTTGTTTGACAGATTGAGTGGCACAGTAGACACCCCAGGGTCAAATATGAGAACAGGTGTACAATACAGCTATAGCATATGGGAACAGGTGTACAATACAGCTATAGCATGTGGGAACAGGTGTACAATACAGCTATAGCATGTGGGAACAGGTGTACAATACAGCTATAGCATGTGAGAACAGGTGTACAATACAGCTATAGCATGTGGGAACAGGTGTACAATACAGCTATAGCATATGGGAACAGGTGTACAATACAGCTATAGCATGTGGGAACAGGTGTACAATACAGCTATAGCATGTTGGAACAGGTGTACAATACAGCTATAGCATGTGAGAACAGGTGTACAATACAGCTATAGCATGTGGGAACAGGTGTACAATACAGCTATAGCATGTGGGAACAGGTGTACAATACAGCTATAGCATGTGGGAACAGGTGTACAATACAGCTATAGCATGTGGGAACAGGTGTACATTACAGCTATAGCAAGTGAGAACAGGTGTGCAATACAGCTATAGCATGTTAGAACAGGTGTGCAATACAGCTATAGCATGTGGGAACAGGTGTACAATACAGCTATAGCATGTGGGAACAGGTGTACAATACAGCTATAGCATGTGGGAACAGGTGTACAATACAGCTATAGCATGTTGGAACAGGTGTACAATACAGCTATAGCATGTGAGAACAGGTGTACAATACAGCTATAGCATGTGGGAACAGGTGTACAATACAGATATAGCATGTGAGAACAGGTGTACAATACAGCTATAGCATGTGAGAACAGGTGTACAATACAGCTATAGCATGTGGGAACAGGTGTACAATACAGCTATAGCATGTGAGAACAGGTGCACAATACAGCTATAGCATGTGAGAACAGGTGTACAATACAGCTATAGCATGTGAGAACAGGTGTACAATACAGCTATAGCATGTGGGAACAGGTGTACAATACAGCTATAGTGTGTGGGAACAAGTGTAATACAGCTATAGCATGTTGGAACAGGTGTACAATACAGCTATAGCGTGTGGGAACAGGTGTACAATACAGCTATAGCATGTGGGAACAGGTGTACAATACAGCTATAGCATGTTGGAACAGGTGTACAATACAGCTATAGCATGTGGAAACAGGTGTACAATACAGCTATAGCGTGTGGGAACAGGTGTACAATACAGCTATAGCGTGTGGGAACAGGTGTACACTACAGCTATAGCATGTGGGAACAGGTGTACAATACAGCTATAGCATGTTGGAACAGGTGTACAATACAGCTATAGCATGTGGGAACAGGTGTACAATACAGCTATAGCATGTGGGAACAGGTGTACAATACAGCTATAGCATGTGGGAAACAGGTGTACAATACAGCTATAGCATGTGGGAACAGGTGTACAATACAGCTATAGCATGTGGGAACAGGTGTACAATACAGCTATAGCATGTGGGAACAGGTGTACAATACAGCTATAGCATGTGGGAACAGGTGTACAATACAGCTATAGCATGTGGGAACAGGTGTACAATACAGCTATAGCATGTGGGAACAGGTGTACAATACAGCTATAGCATGTGGGAACAGGTGTACAATACAGCTATAGCATGTGGGAACAGGTGTACAATACAGCTATAGTGGGAGCCATAAGGAACCTGACCACACAAGCAGACCTGTAAACAACAGCTGTATTTTTGGAAGAACTATATTTAGCTGTCCTGCTTGCAAATAAATGGAAAGGTCATTAATGAACATTACAGGTAACTGGAGAGAGACAATAACAAGTAACAAGCTTTTCCTGTCTTGGACATGGAATGGCAGAAATGGAATAGAAATTAAATAAAATATGAATGTCCAAAAACCTAATTCTAAAACATTAGAAAAATATTACATTTAGAAAATGAAATCTTCAGATGTTGTATATCTACTGTAGTGCAGAAACATGGACAATGAAGTAGCAGTTAGTTGAAGTAGTAGTTAGTTGAAGTAGCAGTTAGTTGAAGTAGCAGTTAGTTGAAGTAGCAGTTAGTTGAAGTAGCAGTTAGTTGAAGTAGCAGTTAGTTGAAGTAGCAGTTAGCAGTTAGTTGAAGTAGCAGTTAGTTGAAGTAGCAGTTAGTTGAAGTAGCAGTTAGTTGAAGTAGCAGTTAGTTGAAGTAGCAGTTAGTTGAATTGAGGCTGTGGAGTTGTGGATACAAAGAATATCATTAGGTTGTTTATCCTAGTAGCAAACACACGTACATCAGTTTTGGGGTGAGTAGACATGGAAAGGGTATGACACAAAAAATAGAAAGACACAAGTGAAATATTCC